GATTAGTTTAATTTGAGTTTGAAAGTTTGAGATCTTTTATACACATAATGATGAGAATCATGTAGCCTTCCATGGTGATTCTCCTAGTGAGAGGAATGAGTTAGTCCTTCATTCTAGATTTGGAATGCCAAGTTTACTTTGCAGGCCAATCAAGGAAGAAATGATGGATCTTGACTACCTATATGATAGCGACTTGGTTCAAGAGAGCTATGATCAAGATGATGAGAATGTCATTAACTTTGGGGTTCAAACCAAGGGAGATGATGACCTCATGGAAATAAGTGCTGAAGAGTATCAAGAGAGTTTGACTCTGTGTGCTCCATGAAGATCATTGATCAAGCTAGTGAGAAGAGTCATTTAGGTTCTTGAATGGACGGCCTATTTGATCAAAGTGTTCAAGATTGAGTCCATTGCTACACAATTGGATAGGTTGCAAACTTTCTTAATTGTTTCAAGTGTTTTTCCAATCTTTTGGAGTCAATAAAGAAAATTCTACAAGTTTTGGAGTAAATTGGAGTTTTCTACAACTTAAGGGGCGCAAGACCAATATTCCACTTTTGGAAGGGCGTTCAAGACATTTTACTTCAACAATTTGGGAGCTGATTTTTGAGTTTTATCTAGTTAGATAAGCCATGTGGGCTGAATAAAACTAGAGTGTTTTGATTAGGAGTCTTAGATTCCTTCTAGATATTATCCTATTTGAGGATAAGTCATTTAGATAAGATTTCCTAGATTTTAGATAGAGTCAAAGAGATCAAATACTCTTCTACTTTTACTCCTTGTGAGATAAGATTAGAGAGTCCTAATTGGTCTTCTTTTTAGTGGTGCTGGCTGAAATTCTAAGCCGATAAATAGGAGGCTTGGCCGAAATTTTAAAGCACCCTTGAGTGGTCATTTTTGTTGTCTCTTTTGAGAGTTTTTCCTGTGAGAAATTTTTGTTAAATGGAGTGTCCATTTTTCGTGTCAAGTATGATTAAACCAAGATGGTTTTCATCTTGTCTTGGATCTTTTTGATCTTGCAGAAACCGTTCTTTTTCAAGTATGCTTCTTTTTGAGCTTGATGATGGTACGTTGGTATCTAATCAAAGTGGGCGCTACATCTTGAAATTTATCCTTGATTTGCAAGTAGAGAACTGTTTCTCCTATGAGCAAGTTAGTGGATCTTATGTGTTGGATCTTTAAGGAGAGAATTGATGACAAAGAAGAGCTTCTTGCTCGAGATAGCCTTTTCTTTCTAAAGGAGATGTCTTTACATAAGGAGGGTTTAAGAGTTTATCTTGTGGTAAATATCTTGGATCTATTCTTTGAAAGGTGAAGCTTAATAATTTTGTACTTCCTACATAAAGTATAAATGAAAATGCCTTCCTTCGTGTTGGTTGCATTTGAATCTAATGAGTAAAATGGAATTTATGGATTTTCAATTAATGAGAATTTAATAGAGACTAGAATTTTGTTGATTATTTTTTTTTGTTTAATCTTAGTGTCAAAAGATTTTTCAAAAGTAACAAATGTTGGTCTTTTGTATTCTCGAGTTTATACTTTGAGATTGAGTCGAATTAGTGGGTCTTCCTATCATTGGACTTTCCTTGATTCTTAACTTGAGTTTCAAAACTTTCTTTGTCATGTGATGAGGAATGAATTTTAGTGATATCAATTTTTCATATCAAAGTGTTTAAAGGTCTTTGAAGTTGAATTGTGCCAACTTTAAGGGTTGAAGTCTTTGACTTGTGTTTAAAACCTTGATTTTCGAGAGTAGAATCGAGAATTGAGTGAAGTTTTACTAAAAAGATTTTCTTATTTATGACAAGAAATCTTAGAGGCTTTGAGATATATTCTTGAAGTTTACATATTTGGTTGTTGGAAAATTTGATTTTCAATGGTCACTTATGAAGATGGCATTGTTAAGTCATTGAGTTTTCAGAATGATTTGTGTTAAATTTAGTATTATGAAGCAAATGTCATAATTGAATGAGGAACTTTAATTTCCGACTTCATTATAATTATGGTGTTCTTGTTACTTTATTTGCCATGGATTGTTTTGGTAAAAAGTGATTTTTGTTAATTCCAAGTGGTAACTTTCAAGTTTCCTTTTTAAGTGAGTCAAAAGTAATTTTTTCAATTTTAACTATGTGGTAAAAGGTTAATAGCCGAATTTTTGCTGACTTTTTGCATGTGTGTGCGTGTGATTTATTGTGGAATTCGAAGCCTAGTTGGTTTTGAATTTTAGAGTCATAGTATAGCCGAAATTGTGAAGCTAAAAATTAGGGTTTCCTAGTCCTAGTTGAACTTGAATTTTGGTTGTCTATTTGTGTTACACTTGGAGACCAATTTGGTCTAGTATTATAGTGTTCACATGGCCGAAAATTTTAGCCCTAAAATTAAGGTCATTGAGTCCGAATTGTGTTATGATTTGAGTCCTATTCGGTTTTGGATTTTTGTGTTCGCATTGGCCGAAAATGTGCTGCCTTTGTTTCCTAATTGTAATACAATTTTATTGTGTGTTTTATTTGAGTCCTACTTAGATTTAAATACTAATTTTTGCATGTGTTAAATTATAATTTCAGTGAGATTATAATTAGAGTTTTAAAGTGAGTCTATTTTCAAAAACTATTGAGATAAGGAAGTATTATCCTAATCTGAAAATTTTTGAGTCTTCTAATACAATTGTGCATGTGTGTGGCCGTGTATTTGAGTCCCAATAGTAGTAGGGGGTCGAAAATTTTATCTCTAATAAGTAGGGATGAATTTTCCTAATTTGTGTCCAAAAAAGATTATGTTTACCTAAGTTTTAGGACTCTATCCTTGTCTATATATATGAGGCCGATTTTTCTTCTTCTCTATTCCATATTTTCGACTGAATTTTATCCTTTAAAGGGGGGAATATTTTTAAGAAAATTTAGGTCCTATCTTGTAGGAGTTTTCTTGCACAAAAAGACTTGCATTGCCTATAACTAGGGGTGCTGTTTTTCGAAAATTCTCACATCACTCTACTCCAATCTTCTTCTTCTTTCTTGCTGCCGAGATCAAAAGAGAAAAGCAAGAGAAGCACTCTTCTCTTTAATTCTGAAATTTTGAGAGTTGTGTTCTTAAAAGCACAAGAGAGTTTTTGTTTTTGGGGAGAGCTTTATTCGAACCTTCCTTTGGTTCTTGGGGGGTTGATCGAGCCATTCATTGGTTCAAGGTTTCAAGGAGTTCTTTGTGTAGTACCAAAAGCACAATTACTTCTTTTTGGTGGTTTTTCAACTTTGTTGATTAACAATGAGTTCTGAAATTGCTGGTTGTTGTCAAACGGCAATAAAGGGTGTTGTTGTACAAGCTAAACCCAAAGATAAGGAGGCAATCAAGGCTCTATGAGGCATATTATGCTGCCTTAGAAGTGGAAAGAGAGCATGATACTTCTTGTGGTTAGAATGGTCCAATTGAGGAACAGGGGTTGGTGTTTGGCGCTGAAGATGGAGATCAACGGACTTGGATCTTCCGTACTAAATGTTCGGTTGGGTGGTCCAATGAAGTTGATTTGGTAATCGACGGAGGGTCGAGTACTGATTGTATAAGGAATTTTGCATAGCAAATGGAATCAAGATGGATCCACATACTAGACCATACAAGCTTCAATGGTTGAGTGAAGAGATGGTTGTGGATGATACTAAGAAGGCCATGGTACCTTTTCAGATTGGTGAGTATAGGGATGAAATTTACTTTGATGTAATTCTTATGTCTCTTTGTGATATTTTGCTAGGTAGGCCTTGGCAGTCAGATGTAGATGTTGTGCACCATTGCTCGAAGAATATCTTTGTCTTTACTAAATGGGATAGAAAATACATTCTTAAGCCTTTGGCTTATGAAGAATCTGAATCTGTACGAGAGAAAAGACGTAAGATAACCTATACACAAGGGAGAGAAAAAGTCGAGAGTGTGACGCAAGAAAGTAAAAAGGGTCACGCTGAGGTAAGACTTGAGGCAAGAGAAAACCATGAAAATAGCGTGGAAACAGAAAAAAATGCACGCAATGAGAGAAAATCAGAGTGTGGTGAGGGTGAGGATTTTACTAACCCTTATATCTCGTTTGTTCCTTGTGCAGGTATAGAGGTTGATAATTCGAGGACGAATCCTCTTAAAGAAGGAGGGGATGATAAGAATCATGTAGCCTTCCATGGTGATTCTCCTAGTGAGAGGAATGAGTTAGTCCTTCATTCTAGATTTGGAATGCCAAGTTTACTTTGCAGGCCAATCAAGGAAGAAATGATGGATCTTGACTACCTATGTGATAGGGAGTTGGTTCAAGAGAGCTATGATCAAGATGATGAGAATGTCATTAACTTTGGGGTTCAAACCAAGGGAGATGATGACCTCATGGAAATAAGTGTTGAAGAGTATCAAGAGAGTTTGACTCTGTGTGCTCCATGAAGATCGTTGATCAAGCTAGTGAGAAGAGTCATTTAGGTTCTTGAATGGACGGCCTATTTGATCAAAGTGTTCAAGATTGAGTCCATTGCTACACAATTGGATAAGTTGCAAACTATCTTAATCGTTTCAAGTGTTTTTCCAATCTTTTGGAGTCAATAAAGAGAATTCTACAAGTTTTGGAGTAAATTGGAGTTTTCTACAACTTAAGGGGCGCAAGACCAATATTCCACTTTTGGAAGGGCGTTCAAGACATTTTACTTCAATAATTTGGGAGCTGATTTTCGAGATTTAGTTATTGTCTAAGTCTAGGAGTTATTTTCGAGTTTTATCTAGTTAGATAAGCCATGTGGGCTGAATAAAACTAGAGTGTTTTGATTAGTAATCTTAGATTCCTTCTAGATATTATCTTATTTGAGGATAAGTCATTTAGATAAGGTTTCTTAGATTTTAGATAGAGTCAAAGAGATCAAATACTCTTTTACTTTTACTCCTTGTGAAATAAGATTAGAGAGTCCTTGAATCTATTCAGATTGAAGAGTTTGAAGCGTAACAGTAGTAGTACAGAACTGGTGGGGAATCCTTGTGGACAGTCAATGGCAGAAGAATCTTCTGAAAGTAAATCCCCTGTTGAGAATGATGATATTGTCTCTGAAATTCACGAAGATACTCACATATTGTCCAATCAGAAAGTAGTAGTACTTGCTCAAGATACTGATCATCATTTCATTTGGTAGATGGTAGGCAGTCTCATGTTGATCAACCTGAAGGTTTCTTGTCTAGTGTGGGTGACTCTGGCGAAATTTACGACGAAGGAGAGGACTCATCAGAGGGTAGCGTCTTCGAAGTAGAAATTTATGAAGGACATGAGAGCATTGTTGCAGATCAAGGGGTAAAATATATGGTAATAACTGGCGATGAGGCTAATCTTGCAGAAGAAGGGGTGAAATACCTGGAACTGGAAATATCTGATAGAAAGGAACCTGTGATCATCAATCCAATTTGGGGTAGTCTTATCCAGCGTTTCATCTATCACAATGCTAGCCAATTGACAACTCATGGCCAGTCCTGCTTACGAGAGCGATTGAAAGAGCGCGAGTTGTGTGTTTTTTTCCGGGAAAATTCATTTCAACACCATGTTCAAGTTTGAAGGTGAACTATATGTTCTGGTTACTGATCTCGGTTTTCTGAATCAGCCCCAATTAGTTTGGGAAAATCTGAAAGATATGCATGATTGGAATACTGAGTTCATGACTGGTAACATGGAGTTCAGTGCCGAAAGACCACGGCGATGGCTCATTGGACGAGGAAAATGATGTGGCTAGCAATTGACAATGCTTGTGCCTTTTCTCCTGAGCATGGTAGATTCCGCAGCAGCATAATTCGCGGCAACCTTCTATTACTATAGTTTGTGCCTTTTCTCCTCCATGCTGTAAGCAAGAATCTGTATTCTGTGGCATTTAAACCTATAACAGCACAATTTCATTACTCTTTTTTCGACTACATTGTTGTTATCATTCTTCGCGCTCGTTTATTTGTATTTGTACGGATCACAAGTTGCATCAGAGACATTTTTGATTTCAAAAGAGATTGTAAATCGATCAAAACATTAAATTCATAGAGATTTTGGTGTTTTTTTTTTCTTTTGGTATTTGTGGATGAACAAGGGATAGGAATAATAAGTGACTCGTGATGCTCACATATCGCACTATCATAGACTCATAGTGAAACGGGCTTTATAAGGAGTTCAAAGGTCAAGAACCAAACTCCAACTTACAAAATGGATTTGAGAATGCAGCTGTTCAGGGCAGGAAACAAAAAAACCAAGAGAGCATGTCAGCTTAATTCATTGCTTCATTTTAACATTCTTCACCATGAGCAAACAGTCTTCTATGCAGAAACTTCTCAATCTCAGTATGTATATAAACCGGGGAAAGTCCGGTAATTGTCCACATGAGGTGATGATCTGAAGTTGGAAGACAGTACATCTCTTCCGCTTCTTCTTTAGACTTCTTTGAATGACTCAACCGCCTGATATGGGATCCCAGCTTATCAAGGACCATACAGACAATTTTTAAATTAATACATGGTCAAGCATTTCTTTATCTTGAGTTGAGTTGCCATAACGAATTTTGAATCTCTATCTTATGAATATAACAATCTACACTCATCACCAGCACTACGATGAGTAAAGAAGTTCCATAAGCTCGCAAAAAAAAACTGCTACTGTCCCAGGAGAATAATTGACTTAATTGTACTGTTTTAGTTCAACAAAGTGGAAATAGTATAACAACGTAAACTATTTTTCTGGATGGAGGGAGTAGCTAACGAATGACATATTCTTATGAAAACGGGAAGCAGAAGAAAAGACAGAAGATTGGAATCAATTGTAAGAAACTATTAACAGGAGAAATCTAACGGATCCTGGCGCCTCTACAGACTACATGTACAAACCACATGGAAGCCCAGAAAAGAGAACAGCCAAAGGAGCACCGCAGCAGGTGACAAAGTTTCAGTGGATGTATGTCTTTTAAAAATGCTTCCAAGTATCATCGTCGGTCAGAAGGCTTTGTGTTGTTGCATTGGTTGCTTATTAAGTTTCAGCTTCTGTGCTTCAATGTTGTAAGGAAAGTTTCGCAGACCTGGTTTTTGTTTCTGCCAGTTGCTTCTCCAGCTCCTCAACCTTCCATAATAACAGGATAAATACATCATTAGACAATATTGATGTCAAAAGCGCTGCAATTCTATGATGAACCACTTACATTAATAACAGGTTATCAGTTACCAGTTCATTTTGCTTTTGCAAGCATTGTTCGCATCCTTGGAAAAGTAGATCTATAGAGCAATTTTTACCTTGTACCCAACTGGATGTTCTCCCCACGTATTTGTTCAATATCTATTGTTGAGCCATCTATACCATCTTCCACCTCATCTGTTTAAGGGCATCGCCGATACACTGCAGCTTGCCGGTCATCGCATATCTCTGCGGAGTTTAATGCCATAATCTTCCGCAAGCTTGGTGCCGAATTCAATGGCATCATCGGAGCTCTGCAACAGCGATCCGAACCCCCCTCCTATCAAGATCTCCTTGGACAGTTAGTTTCGTATGAGGTGCTTCTTCACGCCCAACAGCCGGTCCTTCAGCCCACGGCCATGCTTGTGCAGTCGCCACCTTCTCCTACGCCGCCTCAATCCTCTCGTGCCGGTCGCTCGCAACGCGGCGGCCGGCGCAATCAGGTTTCTGGTCGTGGTGGTGGTCGGCGTGGGTACACCCCTCCCGCTCCGGGTGAGACGTGTCAGCTTTGCGGCATCTTGAATCACACGGCCGCCACTTGTCGACGCCGTTTTGATACTAATTTTGTTCCTCGACCCCCTGCCGTTCGGTCGGCTGCTTATGCCCAGGCAGTTTCTCCTGCACCGCCTTCAGCTGGTTTCTTGCCTCTTCCGTCTTACCCGGAGTCGACGATGTCTCCTCAAGCCCATATGGCGCAGTATGCCCCTTTTGTCACTCCCTGGCATCCGGACACTGGTGCTACCGATCATGCCACGCCAGATTTGTCCTCTCTCAGTATCTCCAATGATTATACTGGTACGGATCATATTTTAGTTGGTAATGGAGATACTTTACCTATTCAGCATGTTGGTCAATCTGTTTTGCCATCGTTGTCTCGTCCTCTTTATTTAAATCGTGTCTTGCATTCTCCTTCTCTTACTAAGCCTCTGTTATCTGTTCAAAAGTTTACCCGTGATAATCACTGCTTTTTTGAGTTTTATTCTGACTCTTGTTGTGTCAAGGATCTTTCAACCAAGGAACTCCTCCTCCGCGGTCGGGCTGATAATGGTCTCTATCGCTTAGATCTTCCTGCTCGTGGTTCCTTGTCTTCAGCAGCTTATCTTGTCTCTTTAGGTCAGTGGCATGCTCGTTTAGGGCACCCTAATAATGTCACTCTTTGTACTTTGGTTAGGCAGTTTCAACTTCCTTATTCCTTTGTGTCCATGTCCACTGATAAATGTGAGGCGTGTTGTTTAGGGAAGTTACATAGGGTCAGTTTACCTTCTACTTTTCATCGTAGCTCTAAACCTCTTGATTTAATTCACACTGATGTTTGGGGTCCTGCTCCTATTTTGTCATTCAATGGTTATCGCTACTTTGTACTTTTTATTGATGACTTCTCTTTATTCACATGGATTTATCCCATTAAGTATAAAAGTGATGTTGTCCATGTTTTCAAGCAATTCAAAGCTCTCGTAGAAAACCAATTTGGCACTACCATTAAAAGTGTTAACTCTGATTGGGGTGGTGAATTTCGTTCTCTCAATTCTTTCTTTAAGGATGTCGGTATTGTTCATCGTTTAACGTGCCCACACACTCATGAGCAGAATGGCATTGCTGAACGCAAAATTCGTCACATTGTCGACATTGGACTTGCTCTCCTTGGCCATTCCAGTACCCCTTTTCGGTTTTGGGATTTTGCTTTTGAAACTGCTGTGTTTTTGATTAATCGCCACCCTAGTAAACCTCTTCAAGGTCACCTACCCTTCACTACACTATATCACCAGCCGCCTGATTATACCTTTCTTCGTGTATTTGGTTGCGCTGTCTATCCTCTTCTTCGCCCTTATAATAAATATAAATTCTCTTTTCGTTCTACTCAGTGTGTCTTTCTTGGGTATTCTCCATCTCATCTTGGTTATCGCTATTTTGATATGGTGAATAACCGTCTTTATGTTGCTCGTCACGTTGAGTTTGATGAGAAACTCTTTCCCTTTAAACTTCCTATTTCTAGTTCTCCTTCTTCGCTGCTGGAGTCTCCTACTACCCCGTGGTTGCGTGTAACCAGTTCTCCTGGTATGCTTGCATCGTCTCCTGCGTCTTCTTCGTCTCCTTCTAGTACACCAGTTCTTTCGTCTCCTCCTATCCCTCCCGACTCCTCACCTTTAGCTAGATCTCCTGCATCCAGCTCTTCATCATCTGATTGCAATCCTCCGCCGCCACCTCCTCCTCCTTCTTCCCGTCAGCACTCAATGACACTTCGTCCACAACCCAAGCCCAAGTAAATCTTTGATCCCTCGGCTCATCTCACCTCTGTTTCCCCAGCCTTGTCTACTGCTCCTACATCCTTCACCCAAGCCAAATCTCTTCCTCAGTGGCAGAATGCCATGAAGGATGAAATTTCCGCCCTCCTCAAAAATAACACATGGACTTTAGTTCCCCCTCCTTCCTCTGGCAATGTTATCGGCAATCGATGGCTCTATAAGATTAAAACTCATGCTGATGGTTCCATTGAGCGGTATAAGGCTCGGTTGGTGGCTCGAGGTTTTACTCAGTCTTTTGGGGTTGATTACACTGACACATTTAGTCCGGTTGTTAAGCCGGTCACCATTCGTTCCGTTTTGACTGTTGCCCTGGCTCGTGGATGGTCGATTTCTCAGCTTGATGTCAGTAATGCCTTTCTTAATGGAGTTCTAAGTGAGATCGTGTATATGGTTCAGCCACAGGGGTTTGTTGATCCGGTGCGCCCTCATTATGTGTGTAAACTGAATAAGTCCTTATATGGTCTTAAGCAAGCTCCTCGGGCCTGGTATTCTCGGCTAGCAGCATTTTTACTTTCCTTGGGTTTTGTGGAGTCTCGTTGTGATCCGTCTCTTTTTGTCTATCGCCGTGGATCTCAGTTGTGTTTTTTGCTGGTCTATGTGGATGACATTATTCTTACAGGCAGCACTTCTGGTTTGGTCCAGCATTTTATCTCATGTCTTGCTAAGGAGTTTTCTCTTCGGGATTTAGGTCCATTGAGTTACTTTCTTGGGGTTGAGGTTCGTCGTACTTCCAAGGGTTTGCTTCTCTCTCAGCGCAAGTATGTCACTGATTTGCTACGACTTGCAAATATGCATACTTGCAAACCTGTTTCCACTCCTTTGCAGGCTAATGTTGTGTTGTCCCGTTTGGACGGTACTTTGTTGTCTCCTGATGATGCGACTACTTATCGTCGGCTGTGTGGCAGTCTGCAGTATACCACTCTCACTCATCCAGATATCTCCTTTGCGGTTAATAAGCTTTGTCAGTTCATGCATCAGCCTCGCACTTCTCATTTTCAGGCTCTCAAACGGGTTCTTCGCTATCTTCGTGGTACCGTTGATTACTGTTTAGTTCTGCATCCTACAGATTTGGGTACTCTTACTGCGTTTAGTGATGCTGACTGGGCTGGTTGTCCGGATGATCGTCGTTCCACTACTGGTTTTCTCATTTATTTGGGGCCTAATCTCATTGCCTGAGCATCTAGGAAGCAGCCCACTGTGGCTCGCTCGTCTACTGAGGCTGAGTTTCGTGCGGTTGCTAATGTCTGTGTTGAACTGCATTGGGTGTGTCATCTATTGTCCGAGTTAGGCGTTTCTTTAAATCGCCCTCCCTCTATTTGGTGTGACAACAGTAGTGCAGTTTTCCTTGCTGTCAATCCTGTGTTCCATGCTCGTACAAGACATGTTGAGGTTGATTTTCACTTTGTTCGAGATCATGTTCGGCGTAAGTTTGTTTCGGTCAATTCTATCTCTGCTGCTGATCAGCTTGCTGAAATTCTGACAAAACCCTTGTCCAAAGAGTTCTTCTTTCGCTTTCGGGACAAACTTCGGCTTCTCTCTTCTCCACCGTAAGTTTGCGGGGGCGTATTGTAATATTTAGTATATTTCCTATTATGTTCTAGTTTAGGGTTTGTTATTGTCTATATATAGTCTGTATATTGTGCACAACATATTATGAATCTAATACAATTACCCTATTCTAAGTCTACATAAGAGCCATTGTACGGGATGAAAAGACATGATCTAAAATGATATTGATCAAAATCACAGAGACATGACCACTGAGTAGTTTATAGAGAGTTCTACTGGTTACTCACAGAAAGATCAATTACTGTTATATGATTCACATTTTTACCAGTTGGCAATTGCTGTAGCCTAACTTGAGACGGCACAGTGGATTTGCTTGAAGCACAAGACCTGACACCTACTGGCTGATGCCCTACCAAGTGACAGTGACCTTTCCTGCAATGGCCAAAGTAAGATTGCACCATGTCACGCAAGTCATCTCTATGTGAGGAATTCAAATTAGAGTGACAGATATACACTGAGCCACTTGCAACTTAAGCACTGATTAGATGGGAGGGGAAACTTTATTTCTGCAATGCTTTTGACAAGTCATAAACATGAAAATCATACAAGTAGATAATCCTACAATACAGAGAATATAGACCTTTTCTGCTAAATAGAGGAAATATACCAGTACTCATTTATCATTTGTTTTAGCCTCGTCTCCAGCTTGAAGAAAAGAGATGATCGCTCAAAGTCTTGCTTGTCATGGGCTGGTTCTATGAAGTTTGCTTCAAGGATTCCTACAGAAATGCAACAAATAGAAACTCATGCTACATTTATCAGGGGAAGGGGAAAAGGAAAACCAAAAAGAGAAACTCTGAACTTAGGAATACCTACAACACCGAATCCTTTGGAATTACCATCTGCAGTGACTTTCGAGAAGGGCTAAAACAAGGTAAAAAAAAAAAATTTAATAAATAAATGATACCAAACCCTGTGAATGCAACAGATGCTCAAGTACAAAAATCTCCAACATGAATAAAAACAACTTAATAATAGTAACTGCGGCAGCATCAGCAGCCAAATACTGATATCAACTGAAAAGTTAAAAGAGAAAAATAGATCACGCCTTTTCACTTATCAATGAGAAGACATACCCTTATGAGGCCATTTTTGTGGTACACATTGAATCCACAAACTCCAAGTTCAGGTGCCTCTTTAATGAACCCAACAATTGTGGCTACAGATAACTATACGGAGAGATAGAAAAATTTAAATTCAACAACCACACAGGCGAGTCCCATTTTTTTCTTTTCTTCAGTGCAAAGATGCATGATGTGAGCTGTTAGTTTATAACATTAAACACAGGAAAGTTGGCACAGAATAAAAGTAGCATCAGATGCAAGAAAGGAAAAAGAATAAGAAGGTGAAAGCACTCCACCCTTGAGAGTTATTTTAAGACTTGAAGGAAAAACAGTGGTTTTGCTTGTGGAACAAAGTGAAGTTTGACACAGTGACACTAAGTTCCAGTTACGCCTGAGGCAATACACTACTAACTTGCAAGGTAAATCACCTGATGTCCATTTGAATTCGCCAAATAACTTAATTGTGTTTGGAAAAAATGACAGGAGCAAAATCGTCGTATGGTAGGCTGAAAGAAGTATAAGTGGGGGTTTCATATAGTATCACCCTTTTTTATAAGCAGCGCAACGTAAATTAAACTACATTTAATAATACTCATCAGTTTGTAATTATTGGGAGTGAAGAGGAACAATAGTTAAAGAAAAACCAGAAATACAGCAATTAGCTATCTTACACGTTTTCTCCCATGTTATCATTGAATATCGCATACAATGACTTTTAAACCGGAATTTGTAATCTCCATAACAGAATGGGTTTTTTCATCCCAATGTTTGAGCCACACCATCTAAAACATCCCAAAGTTTAAAAGCATGTCATTTTCATCCCAAACTTTTCAAAAATATGTAATATTAGGACATTTGTTAATTTTTTCAAGTTATTAATGACGATATTTCATTTAGTTTCTTTTCCCCCATTTTTTTTAGTAAAAATAGTTTCATGCTTGCGTTTGGTAAATTTGGTCCATGCCAAGCAAAAAAGTTGCATGCCCCTGTATCAACTACAACACCAATTTTTATAATGATGCTACATATTTAAAAAATAAATTGAAATAGGCTTACTTTTTAATTAGGACAAACACAAAACCTCTCATGATTGTTATCAATCTAGAAGGTGAATCTTGGATTTTTTTTTTTTTCTAAACAAGGGAAGAATGGATGACGTGAAGACCAAATTAGGTTTAACTATTTTCTTACAAGGTGTGAGTTAGTGAAACGTGTTAAATGATTAAAAGAATTGGGGGAGGAAAAACATAATAAAGTACCACTACTAATTAATTAACTGGAGTTAAAAATTTAACGAATATCCTAATGTAACAAGTTTTTAAAAAGTTTGGGATGTAAATGATATGTTCTTAAACTTTGGGATATTTTGGATAGTGTGGCCCAAACTCTGGGATGAAAAGACTCATTTTCCCTATCCATAACGAAACAAAACAAAAGAAAGTAGAAAACCAACCTCATCCAAAACGGATAAATAGCCATTCTATTGAACCGACAAGCTTTCCCTAAAAAAACCATACCCACACACACACACAGTATGGCATCATCTCTCCCTGCCATTTTCTCGACCTTAAATTATCCAAATGTCAAAATTCCATCGACCCCGTTTCAAGTTTCTTCTTCTTCCTTGAAATCCCATAAAGATTTCCCCCAATTTAACATCTCGCAAAGGGATTTTGTCAATGGACTTTCCTTAATGCCGTTACTCCCATATTTAGCAGCTCCACCGTCTGAAGCTCGCCAAGTGGAAGTGGGTTCTTATCTCCCTCCTTCCCCGACTGACCCTTCTTTCGTTGTCTTTCAAGCCACTCCCAAGGACACTCCTGCCCTTCGCGCAGGTAATTCGATGAATGTTTTAATTATTTAGGTTTGTGTTCTGTGAAATCTGTTGAGAAATTCGAATATGACTACTTGAGTTTAGAGTGATGATTCATCGAGTTTTCGTTTATGATTGGGGTCGAAACTCAATATAATGTAAATTTCTGTTTTCGAAATTTGGTTCACATCATCGAAAAAGGGGATAAATTCTACATATGAGGGTAGAGACCTGATCTGTTTATCACCCCTTACCTTTTAAATGAGCATTTTATGTATTTGTGATCTGTGATTTGAGGAATGAGTGGTCATAACAATTAATTCAAGTGTAATTAGACTTGAAAATGTTTATACATTGAATTTGCTCCAAAACTTTTAACACCTTAGCGTCTGGTAACATGCGGCAGCAAACATTTAGCATAATGACCCAATTCTTCCCGGCACCCCTTTGCAGTTCTGCCTTTGTTGAGAGTTGACTCTGAAAGATTCTGTGTAAAATATTGTGAAAGATAAAAAGGAGACCATCCTGCATGGGCATTGTCTAATATATGTATACATATATGCCAGAAACTATCATTCTGTAGCATTGGTCATTGTACGACCATCATCGAATTCCTGGTCCCTGACAACTGAGTTATATTGCATGATATAACATCAGACCTGCTATGCTCTTGTTAGATTTCTAGACAAAGTGTTGTTTCACAGAAGTTTAAGAAGTGTTTGTATCATCTAACACATTTTCTGTTTTATTCCCCCTTTTTCCTTTTCTCATATAAACTTATGAAACTCTCTGTTTAGTTATTTGCAGGAAATGTACAACCTTACAAATTCATAATCCCACCTAGTCAGAAACAGCTTCGTTTGATTGGTCCTACATAGGTTGCCTCCTCCAAATATTTGTCTAATTCTGAAACTGCATTAATATTTCTTCCGGCTTCTAGACTTTTCTTCTTCATCAGCTCTACCCTAAATCTATCTCTAAGCATTTTTTAAGGTTCAATGTCAGCTGGGGAAGTTTTTTTCCCCGATGAAGTAGAACCAGAATCAACAGTGGAGGAAGCCGAGCTAGAACTAGAAACTAAGACATGGATTCTCACATAATCCGCATACAATTCATACAAGGCACTTTCAACAAAGCATTTTTTCTTTCTCCCATCCACTTTCCCATACACATCACATAGAACAATTTCCAAGTAATCCATTTTGTTTCTTGGATCTAAAATACATCCCATATAAAGAACCACATCAATCTTTTCAATGTTACCGAAATATTTATCAAAATTTTCTTTCATCATTATAGCCATAGCTTGCTGACCAAGATCTAGACTTTCATTAATAGTCTTCTTCAACAAAACATCAATAACTGTAATATCATCAAAAAAGGTATCTAAAGAGACAGATTTAGAACGGGATACCTTGAACGTTATCTCATAATAGTGCTCAAGGAGACCGACCAGCCACTCTCCTAGCTTCCAACCAATCAGTTGCAATTGGCAAACCAGGGCCTGAATTTGACACCTCAGGAACATATTTCAAAGTATCCCTATAGTGGTTCACTTAATTCATACCTTTTAAAAGCTTTTTCATAACCTTGAGCAATTTCCAGCATCACATAGGTGGAATTCCATCTTGTACAAACATACAGAATTAAATTCTTAGAGCTAGCACACTTTTCAATTTCATCACATTTTTTAAACCTTGCAATTCTTTGAGGCGATTGTCTAATATATTTAACTGCACCCCTAATCGTTTTAACAGAAATACCAATATGATTCAAACCATCTTTAACAACCAGATTCATTATATGAGCTAAACACCGAACATGCAACGACTTTGCACCCAAAAAAAATTTTTCTCGGTGAGCTAACTGTTCTTTCAAGTACTCAATAGCAGTATCATTGGCATTTGCATTGTCAACAGAGATAGTAAACACATTTTCGATCTCCCAATCCAATAAACAGTCCTCAATTGTAGCCCCTATATCTATACCCTTACGACTGGAAATCGGGACAACTTATGATTTTCTTTTTCAAGTTCCAGTTATTATCCATATAATGGGTACTAACACACATGTAATTGATTTGTTGCAAAAAAGTCCACGTATCAATTGTCCGGCATATTTTACTTCCATTTCCTTTAATCTCAAGCTTCAGTTTCTCCTTCTCAGCTAAGTATAACTTATAACAATCTTCAGATACAATCTATCTATACTTGGGAACAAACAGCGATTGCAACTTTCTTAAAAAAAAATACCTAAACCCTTTTTTCTGAAAAAATATGAGAAGAAGCTCATCAACAATAATCATATAGATAAGTGCCCTGACGATTTCTTCGTCATTATACCTCCAATTACCTACAGTCATTGGTTTTCCATCCCCATCCTCCTCAACAACTAATTTACTCCGATCAGGGTTATGTTTCAAAGCTAGATACTTCTTACAAAAATCAATGCCCATGAAGAGTACTAGTCCCATGTTTTCTACTCTCAGCTCATAAGGTTTAGCATAATACTTACATTCAGCCCAAGTTGCACCTTTCTCATCTTTAAAAGTGGTAAAATGTGGCCATATCGTCAACTTTTTGCGAGTTACCCTATGAGGCTTTGGAATCAGAGGCTTAACAGGTTGACCTTCACCTGATGGTTCTTCCTTTGCTTCGATCTCGATGTCAATCATGTGTCCATCCTCAGCTAAATCAATCGGAGGAGGAGGAGTTAACAAATTGAAATTATCAAACTCCATCTCCTCAAGGTCATCAACCATCCGCGCATCAACAGCATCACCAGTTTAGGACATCTAACAAAAGGAAAATACAATTCTTAGTTAGTTTACACTTTACACTCCACAGTTTACCAGACAATAGAAGCTCAACACACAGACACAGTGAGTCAGTCACAGTGTCACACACATGACACAACAACATAGCAAACTAACGTTCATACTCCACACTTCATAGAAGACACAACAAAGAAAAATACTCAAAAAGAAATTCAATCCTTAATTCTGGAAAATATATACCTTGAGATTTGTCAATTTGGGTTTTGGAGAAACTTAGAAAGTGAGGAAGTAAGAGCTCAGATCTAAAACTGGAAGCCACCCAAAGCCGAGTAACCCTAGTCCTCTAATCTTGAAGTGGAAGCTCGTCGGTTAACAACTTGATCGGAGTTGTAACAACTCCGGTGAACCAACACCAACTGAGCTAACTTAACTATCTATTTTTGGTCATTTTGGAAAAGAAAAGGTCGGATTGTGTAATCGATTTGATAATGGACGGATTGATTTTGGAAGATATGGTCAGATTATACCGATTCGTTGACAGATTCGTCGGAATCGGAGGTGGAAGATCAGTCAGAGACTCAGTAAACCCTAGCTTGAACGGGACTGTGCCGTTGCAGCTCTAGAAAGGAAAATTTTGGGGCAAGAAAAAATAAACCCTAGCTTTAGGAAAAAAATCTCTTTTACACTCCCTCTATTTATTTATTTAATAAAATAATATAATTCCTTATTCGGTTTTTCGGGCGGTGCCTGATTAATTTTTTTCCAAGCCACAACCGAACCGAAAAGCGTGGGCGGGTTGTCGGTTTCACTCGCAATTCCCTAATTGTCCCGAATAACCGCACTGTTTAGCCAATTTTGGGTTCGGGTTGGGCAGTTTGGCGAGTTGACCCGATGAGCTCACAGCCCTACTTAAGTCGCATACAATTTAATCCAAATATATTTTTTTAAAAAATACTTTTCTTATGTCTTCCTCTTCCCCTGGGCCTCCATTCCCTTCTTAAAAAAGTAACTAGTGACGACATATTAATCATCACATCAAAAGTTGATGTGATTATGAAATGCAGAAAACATGAATTTGAATTTTTTTTTCTTTGAAATATGAATTTGGAGTTGCTTTGAATCATATCAATGTAGAATTGTTATGAGAAATCATATTCACAAAGATGGTATCAGGATGGTGGTAAAAAGTTGCCGGCTAGTGAAAGGACAAAGCGGTCTTTCTGGTATAACAAATTTTTGGTATTCAAAAGGGTACTATTGTCTTCTCAATCCTTAAATTGCTGGTGTCATCCGTAGACATCATCTTGCTATTAACATGAGGATGACATTTATCACCGGTGATATAATTTAGGGGCCAGTTTATATATTTCTTATACTCTGAGGGGAGATTTGGTATCGGGCCACGTGTTTCATTATCATTGGGGGGCTTAGTCTGTATATAGCCTCTTTCAATTGATTTCATTATCCACTATCCACACCATCAATACTAAAAGCTGTGAATTACACCAACAGTTTCAAAGATGTCATCGACATCAATTCTTTACCCATCATCAGGTACTTTCTCTGTCTTTTGAATCTTAGTTTAATGTTCAAAATGTTTGTCCAATGGCAATGTTTTAGTTTTGGGCATCAACATTTTGCCTTTCACTTTGAACTTTCTTTAATAGATTCCTAAAAATTATTGTCTTGATAGAATGTGCATGATGGATTCTAGTTCTCCAAAGGGGGTTTTCATGATTTATGAGATAGAATAAGGTATATGATGGCTGTTGCAGATGTTATCAAGTGATCTAGGTGTTCAGTATAAGAAAAAAAATTTTATCCTGGGATTTGATCACAAGTATATTGATTTCTCAAAAAGACCAGTTTCACTAGGTTTTTTTATTCGCTGTTGATGGTTTCCTAATTTTCTAAAATGTGATTTTTTTGGGATATGACTAATGACGGTACTAGTTACAATGAGTATGGTGTTCGTTAGGCTTCTTCATAGGGCAATAATGACCAACATTTATAAAAGTGCTAGGATAACTGAGGAATTTCTTATCTGTATGACATGATTGATATCTATTGAACTTTACACGGGAAGAATGATGCTCGGGTTTTTTTTTTTTTTTTAAGTTTATGCAGCTCAAAAAATATTAAAAATTGCTGGAATTTTTTTGTCTTTGATTTCAGTTAGTGTATAAGCCTTCTTGCTTTACTAGACTGAAGTTTCATATTGGTTTAGGTCCCGCACAGTGTCAATACTTGAAAACAAAGGAGCATGCAGTCACTCGTGGCCATTCAAAGGTTGCAATTGCCCGCTGCTTGAGTGCTGGACCACCAGATGCACCGGCTTCACGAGATGGATCTATGCTTGCTTCTATAAGCCGCAGGGGTGTGCTAGGGATGGCTATTGGCTTCTCAAATATTTTATTACTTCCAGTGTTTACTGAAGCAGCTGGATTACCTCCAGAAGAGAAACCAAAGCTTTGCGATGAAGATTGTGAGAAGGAGCTTGAAAATGTATGTTGTGAGTGCTATACCCTTAAACCACTTACACATCTCTGCCCTTCATAATTTTTTTGTGTCATAGCTCTGCTCTTCATAAATTTTTTTGTATCATATGAGTGCTTACTCTCCAATTTGACCATGAGTACTTGAGTTTTTCCCATTGTATCAATTCTGTTTAGCTGTTGATGAGTGCATTCATCTTGATAATTGTGAGAGTGAAACCCCTTAACTAGTAAGCTCTGCGTGATGTTTTTTTTTCCTAATTCTGAGTGAGATATTTACTCCACATTTTCACCATTAGTATTAGAATTTTGTTTTTTGGTTATGTCTTTCCTGTCTTGTTGATTATGAATGCGTAAGATTCATACTTGTGAAATTGATTAATGAACTGATCATCTGTGCATGAAGCTTAGAAATATGAACAGAAAGACCCAACAATACCATCTTAGCCATCATCTCTCCCAACTACTAAGGTCATCAAAGTGGTATTCTGAAATCTTAGATGTCAGTCATTAGTTTACACGCTATATCACTCTGCCACAATCTACAACTGCAAACTACTGTGATTGGTTTTCATGGTATAGACCATTGGTTTGCATGGTTCATAAGTACAAAACCTACTAGCACTGATGTTTGTGTGTGTGTTTGTTTATGTGTGCGCACATGCATATGCTCCATCCACTTGCTGTTTGAGGACTGGAATACTCCCAACATCAAATTTAATTTTTTTGAAACTGAAAATTTTTAGGTCCCTAAGTTATTTACTTAGTATAGAAATCGAATTTTCCATATTGGGGAGACACTTGGTTTTCACCAGAAAGGAGGATTGATTTTCATTTCATCATATTGCTATCAAAACTAAGTGATATGAGTCTTACCTTGACATTTGCCTTCGTGTCTTCTGCTTCCGATAGTTACTGAAAATCCTAATCTGATTAGTCAGTCAAGTGTACCAAGAAAAGATTGAAATATGCTGACAAGTCAAGGATCTCGTAGATCGGGGTTGATGCTTTGTCCTTTGGCATGATGGATGCGCATATGGAAAATTGACATGCACAAAATCTATCAGAATGAAATAGTTTTGGCGCGTGCTTGCGCATGATGCTTCTTTTGACTTTACCTAAAAATTTCAGAGTCATACAGATTTAGGGGGCCTATTAATGCTTGATTGTCTGTGCAATTTGTACTATATGCTTCTGGCTATGAATGCTTAAACTCTCTGTGGCTTTAGTGTTCTCATCTGTGGGCATTTGTAGCTTATGCTGTAGGGACATAATTTCCATGGACAAAGGTTGACCAGTACTTTTTGTATTCTGATCTATTTAGCATATGCTAAAGTGCAAAACGGTCAATGATGAAGGTACCAATGGTAACTACTGAGTCAGGTTTGCAGTACAAAGATATCAAAGTTGGTGGCGGTCCTAGTCCCCCTATTGGCTTTCAGGTATAATCCTGGTTGCTGAAATTTAATCTTATTTACCAGTAAAAATGTGCTGTCTATCATATTGCTGACTGGTCAGAAAAGTAACATGTCTATCTTAAAAATCGAACATAAAGGATCTTCAGTTTTTGTTATCAGTTTTACCTATATATAAGGAAATTGCAGCAGGTAGCTCTTTGGAATATTTTTTACTTTTGGTTGTAAGCATTTACTATGCTTACTCTGCCACATGCGTTTGTTACCAGGTGGCTGCGAACTACATTGCCATGGTTCCATCTGGGCAGATATTTGATAGGTAAACAAAGACCTCTCTGGAATACAATGACCTTATTTCTTCATTATCTTTTAAATGGTTCACTAAAACGACCTTTGAGTGTAGTTAACATCTCCATTTTAATTGTTATTTTTTCCTATCATGGAAAGTAAACTGTTACAAAAATTGTCTGATCATGTTGCAACAGAAGACATCTGTAAAAGTGGAGGAAGAGTACAGCCTTCCGTTTCAACTCATTAGGAACCTTCATTTGGTGAAATATACTAAAAACTTCGTTGAAAACTTTTTTCCTTGTTGACACTGGCACTTGAATCCTTGATATTTCTGAAGCTGGTAAATTTTCCCAGCTGCTATGAAGGGAATGGCTGTGGTTTGCGGCAAGATTTAACTAAGAGACCATCAATTCCAAATTTCTGGAAGACCTTTTCAAATAGACTTTTGTCATATCCTTACCTTGTAAAATGACCATCGGACTTTGCACATAAAGACCATTTTGAATCTTGACATGGTTAACATTTGTGATTTAATTTTGCTCTTCCTCAGAAACTTTAACAGAATATTTCTATTTTTAATTCTTGGATTTCTATTATTCATGTATTAAAAACTTCTTGTCATGAAATCGCAGTTCACTGGAGAAAGGCCAACCATACATATTCCGCGTAGGTGCTGGTCAGGTAAGTTCATCACTGTTTAATTGATATATTGTTTGTTTAATTTATTCTCTCCTTTCCAATATGAATCCAGAATAATTTCATCTTAGTCAGATACTTGATGTTCTGCAGCTATACTAATAACTGATTAATTAATTGGATTAGGTGATCAAGGGATTAGACGAAGGCATCTTGACAATGAAAGTTGGTGGCAAGCGAAGACTATACATACCAGGATCAGTAAGATTAAATGTTTCCCTTCCTGTATTTTAACCTTTAAGTATTTTATTTGCTCATTAATAGGCTGAATAACAATCTTAGCTGCGCCCTACACCCATAGAAAATTATGGAATATCTGGAGTTTTCAAGCTGAAGTTTTCTATGTTTTCTGCATTTGATTTGATTTATGAAAAATCGAGCAGAATAAACAATGTTAGGATTTCTCCCATGTCTTTTGCTACCTAATGATTGCTATGCTGGCGTTCAGGTATCTAGCTAGTTTGGCTTACCGTGAAATTAAGTTTTACCTTTTGTTTAATTAAATGATTCGTGATTGCCAAGGGATCCATATTGCCTAAACATGCTTGAAATGCTCTTAACTTCTTCTGAGCCTATGAGGTTAGGTCCCTCCATCATTAACTTCTGTTTATTTTCCGTTCGACTTTGTAGTTGGCATTTCCTAAAGGTCTAACTTCTGCTCCCGGAAGACCAAGAGTGGCTCCAAATAGCCCAGTTATATTCGACGTGAGTTTGGAGTACATACCAGGCCTTGAGGTAGACGAAGAATGAAATCGCTGATCACTAATCAAATTGAAGGTTCATTCTTTTTGGTAATTTTTCTCTGATAAATGTACTTAGTACTTACCTACAGCTGAAGATCCATTGATGGGCTGGTGAAATCTAACATGCCTGTATAATGATTCATTAATGCAATTTTTTTGAGCAATGCATATATCTAGATTTTTTTTATATAATTTTATTATTATTTTTTATCTCTGTGACTACATCCATTCAGCAGCAACCAACAAGTTAGCAAAACTCTGTGCATTGTATCAATATTGATGTTTAAATTGAAAGAGAATCGCAGTTATGTGAATGGCGTAGTAATGTACATTTCTTTCAAACTTTGTAGAATGAAGAAATACGAATGGCAACTAAAATCATTACACTATCTTAGGGAGAGTAAAAACTACATTGCTGACAACTTTATTTTTTCGTCTGAGGGATGAAATTTTGCTAGTTGATCAATGATCATATCTCAATTCACGTTCTTTAAGGAAACCCTTTAGATTGGTTTCTCAGAGTTGTCAAGTAAGGCAGAGATCGAGAACCCAATCTACATATACTTTTGGTTTCGTACGTTTCAAAGATAAAAGAGTGGAATTGAAGAAGAGGAAATAAATAACAATGATGAATCTATATCTTTATTATTATATATATTAAAGGAGAGTTTTCGATCAAGACACGTGACATGAATTTAGATAGGCTAATTCACGTGGCGAAAAATTAAAGAGTCAAGTCCACATGTCGCAACCTCATCACTCCATCATTTAATAGTCATTTTTTAATGTAAAATTATAAATGTAAATTTATAGTTAACAATAAATTAACTAAAAAAAAGTGAAAAATTAATAATAAACCGTCCCTTGGCATCCAACTACATATGGTCAAATGCATAAATCCAATGAATCGCCAAATGAGTCTAATGACCAGAAATAGTCTTAATATGGAGTTAAAGTGTTAAGCCTTCATATCATATATATCTATACTTCGAGCCAATTTTACAGCAAAATTTCTCCTTAAGTGATCAAATATCTAAGTTGTATTTTCAGCATAAAAGTGTAATTACATAATAATGGTGGACAATGGTGTGGGGGATTTTATAGCGAACGTAGCTGATGGCCGCATCTAATAGCAATATCTTTGGACATTTTAGGTGCCACCAAAACTTAATGAAATTCTCATCAATTAATTTAAGTTGTTACTATGTAAACTTTTTAAGGGCTAAATAAATCAAGTCATAAGCTAACATTCAGTACTAAAATGGAATATAAGAATAATATAAAAACAAAAAAATCGAGTGCTAAATTTGTTAATCTAATTCTAAAGATAAATTAAAACTATTTCTAAAAAATGCAAAGCATTGTGTCACTATTGTAAGTCATTTATACTTTCCCTCAACTCCAAGGCTATTACAGCCTAAACCTCCAAAAATTCGCCATGACTTAGAAGGAGCAAGAGTCAAATTGGTACAAGAAATAACTAATTGAAATTAAAAAAATTATCTTAAAAAAAAAAGAAAAAAAAAATCCGACGGCCATGATAAGAAAAACTAATTTACTTAATAATATTGATTTTTATATTTATTTCTCAAAGTGTGACCTTTAATTAGGTTTCTTTTTTTGTTTTTTATTGGAAGAAAGATTTTAAGTAGAGAATAAGATTTTAAGTCGAGAATATGGAGGAAAGATTTTAAGTAGAAAATAAGAAAACTGAGAGGTTATTAAACGGCTTAATTTTTTCATTTGAGCGCCTTAAAAAATCTTAAAAGGACTATTTTGTCCTCGCATATTTATTTTTTTTTAAAAAAAGAGGAGGGGGCGACCCATTTTAGTGCCAGCCTTTCACGGCTGGCGCAGAAGAAACACGCCACCTTTTCACGGGTGGGGTGCACTTTTCTCGCCACCCTTGGGGTGGCGACCAAACCGCTTGGGTGGAGGTCCAACCGGCTGCCACCTTTTTTTAAATTTATTTTTTAAATTTATTCATTTATTTACTTCTTTAATTTAACTAATTAATTTATTTAAGTATATTTATTTATTATTTGACGGTTAAATAAATAATTTTAACTTAAATAAATAATTTTTTAACTTAAATATTTAGAAAATGTTGCTTAATTTTGCATAGTGAATTTTTTATTTAATTATTTAGAATTTTTTAAACTTAAAAAAAGAAATTAACATTTAATAACAACTAAAACTTATGAATTTACCACCAAAAAAATTATTTATAAATAACTAATAAAAATACACTAATTATTTATGTATTAATGAAACATTATCATTTACTACCAACTAAAAAATTATCATTCTCTAAATATTTAAATTAAAAAACTATTTATTTAGCATCGGTGCATCTAGCCGTTCTGATAATTTTTTTTGAAAAAAGTTAAAATAAAAAATATGAAATATAAAATACGTTGAAATTTCATATTTTTATATTTTATATTTATCATAAAATAAATATTAAATACGTTGAAATTTCGTAGGATAATGGCTCGTTAAAACCTTTACTAGAAAAAACCCAATGGATGCCATATCATCCAGAATTGGAAACTACTCCTTATGCAATTTATTTATGTAGTTGTAGACTTGTTTAGAGGTAACATTTTCATTAGGAAATTGTGTCCATATCGTCCATAAAATGTGAACTGCCTTAATCTCAAGTTTAGAATACTCCTCAATGAGCTCTCTCATTTCTGCGCTCAGCCCGCTCCTAACCCGCGGTAGATCTGTCAAAGAATGGTTGTGCATTCCCCAAGGATCGAGATATACACGAAACGTTCACCTATCACATATTTTGTAGACAATAAGATGAAACTGGCATCCGGTCATCTGTGTCTTCGTATTAGGTTGGGCGCGTATGGTTTTGTATACCTGTTGATCTTGGTACCGGCCTCCTTTATTACAAAGGAGTATAGTATAACTATCCTTATGCGAGGATATACTTAACTCCATGTTGTACATATTTGCAATACCCTTCGGATATGTAATAGCGTCAGGCCTTTTGGTAAAAGTCTCGTTTGTAGCAAAAGCCAATCTATAATCAGTGTCATCCCCCTGATCAAACCTATCATGCACACATTAAAAATGAATTATATCATAACTTAAATTAATTATAATAATATTAAACCACAAATAATTCATTATAAACAAAAACATAATATATAATCCGATATAATGATGTTATACTTTAAAGATAACTAATTAACATAATATATAATAATAACAAACTAAATACATTATTAACAAAAACTTACCATTTTAATATAACAATTATAACTTATGAACATACTACCTAATTAACCCATTCTTTCTAAACTAACAACAAATTAAACACATATTTAACAAAAAAATTATTTCATATGAACATATTACGTAATTAACATAATTAAAACATATAACAAACTAAACACATAATTAACCAAAAATTTACTTATTTAATATAACAACTATAACTTATGAACATAGTACGTAATTAAAAAGCATTATCTAAATATTTAAGTTAAAAATTATTTATTTATCAATACCATAAACTCTAAATATTAAGATAAATTATCAATTTAACTACCAATTAATATACATTATCTAAATAAAAATTAAACTACCAAACAAATACTCAAATAAAATAAATAAATAAACTAAATTAAATACATGAATTAAATAAATTTATTAAAATAATAATTTAAATAAATAAATGAAAATAATTAAACACATTAAAAAATAATTAAATAATTAAATTAAAAATAAAATGGGTGGCGCACAAAACGTCGCCACCCATCTAATGGTTGGCGAGCTCGGACAAAGGTGGCGCCCAAAACGGGCGCCACACCTTCGCCAGAGGCGAAGGTTTTCTCGCCTCCCTCTACAGGGAGGCGAGATTATTCCACGCCACCCTGCAAAGGGGTGACGTGTTTCTCCTGTGCCAGCTGTGTAAGGTTGACGCAATTCTCCCGTCCCCCCTCCCCCTTTTTTTTTAAAAAAAATAAAAATTAAGGGTAAAATTTTATTTTTACATCTTTTTAAGGCGCTTAAAGAAAAAAATTAGGGCGCTCAACAACACCCTAAGAAAATATGAAAAAAGTGAGATTTTTACTAAGATAATAGTAAAAAATGAAATAATTATTAAAAATTTTTCAAGAAATAAAGTTTTAAAGAGAGGTCATAAAAGTTGGGGGGAAAAGGTGAAAACTATACAACCAAGAAAAATAAAATTAAGATAAACACTATATTATAGGAAAAATAAACGAACAAATTTCTAAGAAAAGGTTGTAAAGCTATACAGCGAGATGAAAAACAAATATAAGTAAGAGAAAAAAAGGAAGATAAGTTTATGAAAAAAATAATGAGAAAATTTCTTATTAAAGAAAGAGTTTAAAAGATATGACACAGGTAGAAATATTTATAGATATCATCATAAAAAGATTAAGAAAATACTATATAAAGCCATAAATCAATAAACAAAAAAGGTGTGCATTAAAAACTACACAATTTCAATTTATATCATTAATATTAACTTTTTATATGCGTCATTCCATTGAAAATGTCATATAACTATTAAATTACTAACCTCATATATATCTCAAACAACCCGCACAAGGTGTGAGGTATACAGTAGTTATATATAATAAGAGAGTTTTCAATCGACATGTGTCGCACAATAAGATAGTCCAGAGATTTCTCCACTACTTGTCAAGCTCACGTTTCTCTTCTGACACGTGTCGATAAAAGAGGTTCTCCTTCATTAACAGTAAAATTTTTTTGATAAATTGATTACTTTCACTCATTTATCATCCATCCATTTAACCCATTTCTCATTTTTCATTTGTGAAAATTGATTAATTGATTATGACAGTTGATATAATGAGAGCAATTTTGTTATATTGAGAGCAAACATTTTCTAAATACCAAATTTATCCTTCAATTAAGATTTTAAGATATATATGCCATACCTGTCTCTTCTTTATCTTTCCCTTTTTCTTTCGTTTTACTTCTTTGTGATTAATGGTTGAAAGTTTCCAGCCAATCCGTTTAAATTCCAGTTCCATTAAGTTTTTGAAAAATTATTTTAAAAAAGTACCTTCTCTTCTATTCTTGTCATTTGTTAATATTTCTACGTTATCCATTTCCACCTAAAATAAAAAATTACTCAAACATCTATCTATACACACACACAAACACACACACACACACATACATATATATACATATATATATATATATGCAAATATATTAAAGTTGGCCATTTTTAAGCCATTTCTTTGAACCATTTAGGATGTCACTTGTCATTTTCTTATTTATTTAGTTTCTTTTTTTTTTTCACATGTCAACCCCCTCATAAAAATATTTTGACGTATACAAGTTACCATCTAAATTAGTGTCATAAATTAATAATTTCTAATATTAAATATCATTAATCATTTATTACATAAATACTTATGCTATCAAATCAATTCTCATCAATCAATATTCAATATTGAGCACTAATCGTACATGTTCATAAATACTCAAAACTATAATATGGAAATATATTGAACTAAATAAGGGATAGATTTATAACAATTACCGTTCATTCATGATTCATGATGACTATCACCAATCATAAAATCAATTTGGCAACAAAATTAGTTCGGCAAGGCAATTTATTGGGTGCACCCGGGGGCACCATACTCCCCCTCCTATTTTTTGCACTACTGATCCTTATTGTATCTTTTTTTTACTTTTTCTAATAATCTTCCTATTATTTACAAGTTTAGTCACTGTCAATTTTTTCTCCCTCCTCCAAAAAAACATCTCTAATCTTTAAACAAGCATATCTCTCAATCCGTGAAGAATTAGAAAACGTGTTACACATTAAATTTATTGTTCTCGTCGAGATCTATCCAACAAGATCCATAGTGAATATTTTTTCAGGCTTAAAAATGATTAAATTCTGATGGACAGAATAAGGTGGATATCCAGTTTTACAAGATGGATAACCAAGTTATTTGAAATTGGTTATCTGTTGTGTTCATTGCTGATTATCCAACCAGTTTGAACTGGTTATCCAACTTGTTTGTACTAGATATCCATCCATTTGGTTTGTATGCCTATCAAACTTGTTTGTAATGGATATCCTACTTGTTTGTACTGGATATCCATTTCATTTGTACTGGATATCCAACTCGCTTGTACTGGATATCCATCCATTTGGTTTATATGCTTATCCAACTTGTTTATTAGTTGTAATCCAACGGGTTTGTATGCACTATAAAATTCATATATAATTCGTGTTCTAATTATTTGCGGATCAAGAGATATATGTAATACAAGAAAAATCAATCTAAACTAAGTTGGTTATCCATCTTCTTTTTTCTTTTTTTCTTTTTTGAAAAGTGAATATAAAAAATATGATTGGATAAAACAAAATAGGTAATTAGTCCAAACTGGTTGGATAATCAGTATGAACATAACGAATAATCATTTTTCAGTTTATTCATTTCTGCCCGTAAGAGTAAAATGCATTTAAAGTTCAAAAGAAAAATTCAACATTTATCTTATCGGATAGATCTCGTCGAGTAATATAAATTTCATATATAAGTAGTGTTATAATTCTTTACGGATCAAAAGATATAAGGAACACAACAATATGAATGTAAAATAAGTTGGTTATCCATCTTCTTAAACTGGATATCTAATGTGTTCATATTGATTATCCAACTTCTTTGTGGTGGTTATTCAATATTTTTTTTCCTTGCTCTTTTATGAGAATGATTGTCAAACTTTTTTGTACTGATTATCCAACGTGTTGCACTGATTATCCAATTATTTTCTATTGATTATCCAAATTATTTTCAATGCTTATCCAATCATTTTTTTTCTTTTTTTTTTTTGAAGAGTGAATGTCAAAAATATGACTGGATAATATGTACAAACATAATGGATAATCAGTCCAAAACGGTTGGATAATCAGTAGGAACATAACGGATAACCATTTTTTAAAGAAAAACAAAAAACACATTTCTTCATTTCTGCCTGTAAAATTTAAATGCATTTAAAGTTCAAAAAAAATATTCAACATGGATCTTATCGGGTAGATTTTGTTGAGCTCTTTAAATTTCATGTATAATTCGTATTCTAATTCTTTACGGATCAAGAGATATTCAATACAAGAATCTTAATCTAAACAAAACTGGTTATCCATCTTTCTAAACTAGATATCCATCTTATTCTGCCCATCAAAATTTAGTCATTTTTAAACTCGAAAAAAATATTCGACATAGATCTTGTTGGATAGATCTCGACGAGTACAATAAAATTCATATGTAACACGTTTTCTAATTTTTCACGGATTGAGAGATATGGTCGTTTAAAGATTAGAGATGTTTTTTAAAGGAGAAAAAAAAAATCAAAAGAACTAAACCTGTAAATTATAAGATGTTATTTAGAAAAGTGGAAAAAATGTAGCCAGGACTAGTAGTGTAAAAAATGAGAGGGGGAGTATGGTGCCCCCAGATATACTGGATAGAGACTTGTTCGGCAAGCTTCTATGGTATGTTACAGAATCAAACAATTTATAATTTTCGGGAAAAAAAATACTAGATTTGATAATAATTTACGAATCGGATGATAATCAAACACACATACATATAGTTGATTCTTATCCATTATATCCCAAATTAGAAGGGTCGAATCCACTAATTAATGAACACATGCAACACATATGCCCCTTATAAATACAGTTAGTGTATGGACTTGCTTTCCCAACTTCTCCTGCTCCAACTTTTTTTTTTTATTTTTTAAATTTTTTGTTTACAATGATTCATGTCAAACCGTGCAACCCTAAAATTTATTTCTAAAATATATCCCTGCACAAAATATATTTTTGACTCATGCATCTTCTTCCATCTTCTAACTTTTCTATAAAAAAAATCCATTGATGTAGAAAGCAAAGTATGAGTACAGATTGGATGTGAGTTTGATTGATGCCTAGCTATAACAGCCGGATTGCTGTGATGTTGCCGCCTTCGGCATAGTCAAAATCGTCCCACGATGGCAGATTTAACTCTTAATATGTGCATCTTTTTTTTTTTTTTTTTCTCCTTTATGATTTATTTTTTGATCTTAAATATTGTATGGGTTAATTTTTTTTTCCTCGTTAATCGGTGATCGTAGTTGTTGTTTATTTTTTTTTTCACTTCTGATCTGGTTATTTTTCGTTTTGTAGAAGCTGAATGATTTTTTTTATGAAGAAGAAAGCAAAGCAACAAGGTAAATGTCCTTGTTTTTGTTTTCCTTTTAGTAAATTTTTATTTTTAGCTTTCAAGAAATTCAAATGGGTTTTTTCATGTTCGTGATTTGAGAATAAACTTTTTAATTATGCCTCAAAGACCAATAGTAAGTTTTGGTTATCATCAAAGCTTGATTAATTTTTAAGCATAATTTTAGGTTGTCACCTCAATGTCTGCGGTCAAAAATAGATTGATATACGACTAATACGGTTGATGTATTCAAGCTGTTGCGAAGGAAATTTTTGTGGGCCTTTTATTTTTATACTTTCACATATTTCTGCCTTTTTCTCAATTTAAAGTCTTTTTAACTTGGATTTTGATGCTTTATTCATTTTTCAATATTGAAGGTTTTTACAAGAAAGTGTCATGGGCCTCGACTAATCTTAAATCTGAAGCTATTGTAATGATTTGTGCTGGCAGAGTATCTTTGTTAAATAATTCTTAATGAAGTTTCCTAATGATTTATTGGGTTAATTAAGGTATTTCACTCATGGTAAATCTAATTACCGAGAGTTTGGAAAAATCTAGGGCTGGCAATCCTTGTCGGGTCCAGGTTGGCGTGTCGGGTCGGACCCGAACCCGAATAATATACAGCCAACCCGGACCCGACCTGTATAAATAAACAGATTGAGTTTTACAATCCTAACCTGACTTGAAAATATTCATGTCACCCATGACCCGACACGCCAACCCGGTATTTAAAAAATAAAATAAAATAATTCCATAAAAAAACTAAAACCTGAAATTTTCATATCACAGTATCACACAAATCTGGCAATCTAAAATTCCAGTCATTTTGATAGCACACAATCTAAAATCTGAAAAATTCAATTCCAAATCACACAAATTACAAAGTACCAGCATTCAAATCACAACATTAAATCCAAATTACAACCTTCAAAGTTAAGAGAGGAAGATTAAGATGACATTTGAAATTTGGCATGACCAAGTTGGTACTCAGTAGGAAGTTGGTACTCAGTTGAAACTCTTGTATTGGTCTGCCAAATTTTCAACTCCCCAAACTTCAATATCAGTACTCAGTAGGAACTTGAGTCTTGAGGGAAAGCTCAGCTCCAAAAAACAGCCAGGAGTAGAGCAGCACATCCTGCAAGCAAAAAAAAAAAAAAACCCGTGAACTAAAATGAAAAAGATTATGATTTCTGAACAAAGAGCAGATTTCATTAATCAAAGCATCACATTCAGAGCAGATTTCAGAGCAGAAAAATGCCAATGACAACAAACTTACCAATGATTTCAGCAGAACATTCAGAGCAGATTTCATTAATCAAAGCAGAAAATTCAGAGCAAATTTCAGAGCAGAAAAATGCCAATGAACAACAAACTTACCAATGATTTCAGCAGAACATTCAGAACAGATTTCATTAATCAAAGCAGAACATTCAGAAAACTCCAGAAAACATTCAGCAGAACATTCAAAGTAGATTTCATTAATCAAAAACCAATGATAACAAACTTACCAAATATCTTATCAAGTTGTATTAGAACTTCCCCCTTCAATCAATGGAACACCACCACCATTGTTGATATTCAAGTTCATTATGTCTCTGGTCAACTCTTCCAAGTTTAATTCATCCAATTCTGTTTAGAGGGAAAAACATATGCAATAAATATTTTAAATTTACATATGAGATTAATAAACGAAAATGCAAACAGCAAACACTTCACCGTTGTGTCCAAATAACCAATCTCGGGAGCATATCAAGGTTTCGACAATATCTGGAGTCATTGAGCTACGATATTGATCTAGAATTCTTCCTCCAAGGCTAAAAGCGCACTCGGATGCAATGGTTGATATGGGAACACAAAGTATGTCCCTAGCAAGCCTAGTAAGATCAGGATACGATATTGTTGGGATCTCCAAAAATCAAGTACATTGATTTTATCGGTCCTGTTATGCTTTGGGTCAGCTAAATACATCTCTAGCTGAGTTTGTTTGCCACTTGAATCAAACTCAGCACTCTCAAACTCATCAAATTCCTATAAACAGTAAACAGTGAATAAAATCAGAATAAATCAGAAATAAAATAAAAATTAGATTATGACATTAGAATAGAAAAACATATAATACACTTACTTACCATCATTAAAGTTGAAGTATGACTCCCTTCAGTTTCTCTTCGATGCTCATTATTACTACCAGAAAAACAAGATGATGATACCTACATCCAATTGTCTTAGCTGGTTAGGAAGACATATAACAGCTGACCCAAATTGAAATTAAACCCATCCCCCAAAAAAGAAGAAGAAAATGACCTGACCTGAATTAGATGGTGAAGCTAGCAAGTACTCATCATAAAGAGCAAAGAGGGCAGCCTTCAAATCAGCTAATTGTTGCAAAGATGAGCCATAAAGCTTCCCGTAACAGAATTCTACGAATCGAAACTTGTACCGAGGATCAAACACCGCCGCAAGTGACAGCAAGAGGTTAAAATTAGACCAATATTTGTCAAACTTATCAACCATATTCTTAGCAATTCTTTCCAGGAATGAATCACTGCTTGAGATTGCCTCTTGTAACTTTTGTTGAACTGGAAATACCTTTGGAAGATACATATTTGCTGTGGAATAAAGAGTTCCAGAGAAGGTATTTGTAGCTTCATAAAAAGATTCAATAAATCCACATATCTTTTCAACCCTTTCCCATTCATCCCTTTTCAACCCTTTCCCATTCATCTGAAGTAGGACAACACTTAAAATTCATATCAGCCCACTGAAGATGCTCAAAAGCCCTACGATAGTAGAGAGCACTTGAAAGCATCTTATAGGTCGAATTCCACCTAGTAGGCACATCTTGCTTTAAACCTCTCTTAGAATCCAAAGAGGTTTGTCCAATAGACAGCTCAAACTTTTGCTTTCTAGAACTTGAACCCTTAACAAATTTGACACATTCCCTTATTTTGATCACAGACTCATCAATTTCTTTCGAGCCATCTCGAACTACCAAATTAAGTATATGGGCTGAGCATCTTACATGAAACAGTTCACCTTTATACACCAAAGCATTATTAAGCATCAATTGTTTTTTCAGAATATCAACACAAGCATCATTAGCCGATGCATTGTCCAAAGTAATTGAAAACAACTTTTTTTCAATACCCCAACTACAAACCAAAGAATAGATCTTTTCACTCAATGCTTGTCCCGTATGTGGAGGTGGCATGCAAGAAGAATTCAGTATTCTCTTTTGTAATTTCCAATTAGCATCAATAAAATGAGCAGTTAAACTCAAATAACCATCAGTAACAATGGAAGTCCAAGAATCCAATGTCAAGGCTATTTTACTAGGACAAGCAGGTAATTCAGCACGGAGTCCACCACATTCTTTGGCATACATCTTCCTAATATCAGATTTTTCAGTGTTTCGAGTAAATTCAACAGTTTTTGGCTCTAGATACTTAAAAATATTCCAAATTCCTTCATACTTCACAAAAGAAAAGGGCATGTCATGTCTAATCATTACATGAACAACTAGCTCTCTAAACTTTTCTTGAGAAAAATGTGGATTCCTAGTTCCTAAACAGGTAGCATCCTTATCAGAGACAATCAGAAACTGCCCAATATCAGTGGTAGTTATTTTCACGCAACTTTTAATATGGCGAAGTCAATTACCTGTGCCATTCTCACTTCTAGCCAAGTATTTCTTACCACATTTTTTACATTCACAGTGAAGCTTTTCATTTGGTTTCTGGGGCAGAATTCGAAAATGATGCCAAACTGAAGATGTTAACCTTCTTTTCTTTCGCACCCCTTTGTTTGCAGGAGATGCTTCATCACCTTCTTGTATGCCAGTTGTGTCAGTTCCACCATTGATTGAAACCTCAACATCATCAGCAGCATTGGTCTCACTGCCGTTAACATCAAAACCGATATCAAATTCAGCTTCTTCGTCAATTGGTTCCATTCCTAGAAAACCAGAGACAAACAGACAAAAAATTTCAGTAATCGACCCAATAAAGCAAATCAACTAAAGATTAACTAAACCAACTAAAGATTAACATGCAGGGCTAAACTAAATCTTAGTTCTATCCCTTAAAAGTTAAAAGCTTCAAACCGCTCTCACTATACCAACTACAAATTCGACCCACAGTTAAGCTTTCTTTCTTTTCTTGGAATTTACAAATAAAACTCCAACCGAGTTTGGAGAGAATGATAGAAGAAAGAGGAGAACAAGAAGGAGAAGAAGAAGAAGAAGAAGAAGGAGGAGGAGGAGGAGGAGGAGGAGGGTGAGACATACCTGATTCGGTGACCTTGAGGAGCTAAATTGAAGCAACAGTGAACTGCCGTTGATGCGAGGTTGATGATTGATGATAGGAAACACCGTGAAGATGACACGAAGAAGAAGGAGGAGGAGGAGACCGCCGTGAAGATGATGATTGATGAGCAGGGATTGGAAACACCAATTTGTGATAGACAGCGGGAGAGGTTTCAAGGTCAAAGTGGAGGGGAATCAGAGTGGAGGGGAATTGGCGGAAGTAGGGGGAGCTGATCTACGGCTAGGGATTGGAGTTGCAGAAAATCGGAGCCGCCGCCGCCGTCGGAGGACGAAACACTAAAGGTAAAGGGAAAATGGAAAATTTGTGTTGGATGATGAATAAAGAGTATTTATATGACCTGAAATTAGGGTTGGGATACCAGTGAAATTCCCAATTACCCCTACAGTATACAAAATTTACATATTCGCAGGTAACCCGAGTAACCCGCCGGGTTGACCCTAACCCGACCCGTATATTAAACGGGTCTAAATTTCCAATCCTATCCCGACCTATTTAATATGCGTGTCGTGTTCGTGTCGGGTCATTCCGTGTCGGGTTTGTGTCGAAATTTCGAGTAATGTCAGAGATTACCAGCCCTAGAAAAATCCGATACACATGAAATTAACCACGAGTTTTGTGTTTTTTGGATATAATTTCAGTTCTTTGTTATCGAAAAAAATAAAGGTGGATGATATATTTTCATTTTGTTTTGATGGTTAGAACAAAATAGGGGTAAGTTATATGTGGGTATAATACATAAAGATTCCAATTTGTTTAATTTATACTCCTACCTTCTTGGAGTGATCTTGCTTTATTGAGCCAACCCTAATGTAATCAGTTTGCAGCCAAAACCAAGCAGTATGTTTTAACATGTATTGTTTATTTATGAACTATTTCTATATCGGACTCATGTGAATGTGAAATGTTTAAGGAAACCAAACACTTAGTAATAATTTTTACTCTTATAAAACCATGGAGTAGTATGGTTATTTTAAGGAAATTAGTCAAAATACTATAGTACTACTACTAATACTACATGAGAGAGGCAGTCCTCTATCCGCCTCTTTTGTTCTTCCATCCTTTTGACTTTATTATGAAAATCTATATAAAATTAGGGTTTTATTGGTCATGTGTAATGGAAATGTAACATTGAAAATGGAAGAGCCACAACCTTTTTTAGGGTTTGGCTAACATATTAATCTCTCTTCTGTCAGAACAATTCCCTTAAAGATGACTAATGGTCACTTTTTCTGAGTGACCACGCTCAATTATTATGACAAAATTAAGGTTGATGACAATTGATTTCCCAAAGGATGAAAATTAGGACAACGTCTGTACTCTTAAAAAAAAAGGAAACAAAAATCATATCACTAATTAAAAAAAAGGAATGCGATTATTCATTTAAATTTATATTAGTTTATGAAAATATTATAAGATTGTACTGTAGGAAACCGTTATACAAAACATTATTTATACAAAATTGACACATGATATTGATAAGTTCATCCAAAGGTGGGCTAGAGTTTTAGTAAAAATTCAAAAAAAGTAATATATATAATAATAATAATAATAATAATAATAATAATAATAATAATAGATTTTTCAATCAATATGTATTGGCGCAATGAGATAGCCTAGAGACTCTTCTGACACGTGTCGATTAAAGAGTCTCTCCTTCATTAAACCGTGATTTTTTTTGTTTTTGGAAAATTGGTTACTTTCACTTATTTATCATCCACCCTTTTCACCCATTTCCCATTTTTTATTTGTGAAAATTGATTAATTGATTAGTTACCTAAATAACGTTAAAAAAAAACTAATTCATTGATTATTTCATTTCGAAAATCAGTCCATGATATGCGTTAGATATAAAAAAAATCAATTATAATTTAACTAGATGTTAAACCCCCACGATGTGCGGGGTTTATATATATACATCTATTAAAATATATTTTTAAATTTTAAATGTGATTAATACAAATAAAATAACTGGTTTGTAATAATAAATATATGATTAAAGTTAAATTAGATCGTGATAAATAAAATTGTTATATATATTTTGAAATGACAACATTTTATAAATTGTATGCCAAAAATGTAATTAAATAATGGAATATGTATAAGGATTATATACAAATAAAAGTAAAAAAGACCACCAAAATAATAAATCAGATGTTACATGTCATATAAATCAAAGCAATTTATGTCTACACGGTTAAAAACGCATGTGAATCAAGATTGCAAACAATTGGAGAAAGAGACACCTTACATGTTAAATAAAACATGATCGGAGTGAGGTCGTCGCCGCAAAGATATTTTGTAAAGTATATAAGATACTTCGCTTTAGTGTTTCACCGGTTGTCATTGTACATGTTAGAGTTAGACCGAAGTGGATATTTATAGTGAATGTCTGAATGAGATATCATAACCAGTAACTAAAGTAAAATTCATAACTATGGAATAAATATGAGAACGTCACGTTGATTAAGTGATAAGATTGGTGGGGAAATGACTTCCATTGCATTAATGTTGCTTAGTCTTTTTCAATTAAGTTTGATTAGTTTTTAATCACTAAAGAATTTTCACTTTCCCGCACGTTGAACTTAGGTTTTAAATCAATCAAGTAGTGATTTTAGGGATTATTTTGTAGATGGATTTTTTTTTATTCGAATTGGCTGGGGTAAAAAGTCTCGGTGAATTAATGTTGAAAATAACAAATGTCTTATCCATTTGAACTTATAATTTAAATCAATCAATTAATACTAATTGGGGATTATTTTTAGGAGAGAATAATTCTGGCACATTAATGTTCATTAATCCCGTCCATTAAATTTAATTAATTTTTATTTTCATATTTTAAACTATAGTTTTAAACGCCATTTGATAAAACTTTATTTACATAAAATTTGAAAGACTATTAGTATAATTGTTGTAAATATTTTTTGACTCAACCATTAGAAAAATGACACATAGGATTTTATCCTATGTGGCACCTTTAGAATTCTTTTTTGTTTTCTCTCTCTGGTTTCTCTCTTATTATAATATATATACTATAGATTGCTTGTGATATGGTTCTGAGACCCTGGATATATACGTAGGTAAAATAAAATAAAATTCTGACCCTGGATATCCTATTTTATCAGTCTCGTCACATACGTAGGTTTCCCTGGATATATTTCCATAAAAAAATATTGGTTTCCCTTTTTGTTTAATTTATTTTTTTAAAATAATTTATAGGCTAATGGAGGACATTTACATGCTTTTTGTTTACGAGGTTGGGTGATATTACTACATATTGATATTATTTAAATATAATATGAATAAGAAATTTGCAACCTACCATAGTTAGAGGGTTGTGTGTTATACTTTTAAGTGGAGAATGGCCTTTCTAAAAAAAGGAAGGTGAATGTGAATATCATTATTAAATCCAGAAGTATGCAAATAAATTATTTTTTCAAAAAACAAAGAGAGAAAATGACCATAAATATGGGATTTTAATATAAAAAAAATCATAAAAAGATTTACCATTTGAATTTTTTAGTCAAATTGCTATAAAAATTTATTTTTCTATCGTGATTAGTAGAGCACTCATCATTCATTCACTTTTCAAGGTAAAATTGAAAATGGAATAGATTTTATTAATGTTTCCCTTCATAAAAATAAAGGGCTAATGTTGTGTTACCATTTATGAGTTACCTAAATGGATGAGGCTACTTTTAATTACGACAATAAACTGTCATCTATTAACTGATGACGATTTTTTGTTAATATCGGCGGTAAAGATGACTAAGGGGAAAATTCGACATGTAGGAGGATGGCCTTTGCCTCTTTATTTTCGAAGAATATATGTAGAATAAAAATGATCATATATGTAAACTATTGCAATAATACTTGGTCAAATCGTAAATTACAGCAAAATTTCATTCCCAAAAAAATGGTAAGCTTCAATTTTTATAATTTATTTATTTATATGTTGTCTTTAAGATTCAATTAGTACTTCTTAAATAATACTCCCTCCAATCCTCATATAATCTATTTTTATTAGTCTTAAATTTTATTTATTACGTTTCAAATAAACTTGAAAAAATATATTTTCACATTTTTTATGTTCTTCCAATTACTATAAATATTTTAAAGATTTTATATTCATTTTGAAGGACATACTAAATAAAACTTAAAACAAATCAAAATATTTTACAATAAGGATCGATGGGAAAATTTAGCAAAGAAACAAGGAGAATTTAGCAATCGGACGAAAAATAAAACAAGGAATGAGAACTTAGCAATCAGACAAAAAATAATGTTTACAAAGAAACATTCCAAACGATATAAATATTCATTAGTTATTTCGATTTTGATTCATTTTATACTGTATCCCAATATTATATATACTATATCCCAATTTTTTATTGTGTCAATACTAAAATTTTCACAACTACAAAACATATTATTACTTGATACTTCTATAAGAATGATATTTCAAGCCGTGCAACGCATGGGCATGAACTAGTACTAATGTATGAGACTTTTTTTGTTCCTCGATGAAAAAAGAAATGGCATGACATAATTATTGAAGTAAAATAACCTTTCGTCTAATAAAAAAAAAAAAGTAGACCATTGTCTAAAAGAAAAGGAAAAAAACAAAAGAAAAGTAGATTAATTTTTTTTTCCCCCTCGAACCGATCATATGCCAAAGCATAGTTATCAAATCGTGATACATATCGTATATCGGAAATCTAAATTTATGATACGCGTATCGTATCGTGTATCGTATCGTAAGATACGTTTTAATATAATAATACGTATAAAATAAATAATAAATATCATAAAATCCATGTCAATGATATATTTATACTTTTTTTATTTTTCAGCTATAAATAAATAAATTGATTAAGTTGAATTCAAAATTATTTGAAAGTTACACAAATTACTCATTCATTTCATGAATAATGGTCATACAACCTATGTAATAAATATCGTTTTTTCATGATAATTGTTATTATAGCCATAAATTTAATAGTGAGAAAAATTAATATAAACATGTATTGTATTTATTCAACATGTTATTAGTTATAGTTCATTTGGAAAATGATATTATGAATAAAATAATATTTTTAAATCTATTATTTTTTAGACTATGATAATTTATTAAGCGGTTTTGTCTTCAATTGAGAAAGATTATGTTCGTGGAAGAAATAAATCAATAATATCTATTTAAAACAAATTGTAAATGAAATTCGCTCTTAATTTAAAATTTAAACGGTTATTATAAAATAAAAGTTTAAATTTTGTTAATAATATTTTTTTTTGCCTATGTTTTTGTATCGTACGATACACAATCGTATCGTGTATCGTATGTATCGTACGATACGTATCGATAATTGACCGATACACATACGATTGTGATATATAACATGATACGTATCGAAATCCTTAATTTTGATACGTATCATGCACGATACTTACTACTCTGTGCCAAAGCCATAAGGGACGTTGGGATTGGCAGAGGAAACTTGATTGGCATTCAAATCAACCTCAAAATTACTAGCACCAGTTGATGAAGTAGTGATCATCTGATTCAAATCAACGTTCATCATTCCCATATTATGAGATTTCTTCAACAAATCCAATTCATCAGCACTTGTCAGCACATTCTTCTTCAATTCTTCCAAAGCAACCGCGTACATTTCCAGCTCCTCCAATCCCATATTCTCAATCGATTTTTCCCACCAATAATCATTACTACTTCCCAAATTCATCGAAAAAAAATTGTAAGGTGTGTTATGTACATTAGGGTTGGCCGGGTGTGCCTTCTTATAATCATCATCTTGTGCACAATGATAACACTTTCCAAAACAAAGTTCCCAATCAGAGATTTCGATCATATTAGATTGATTCCAATTTCCGAAAAACTATCAATCATGATATTTCTTTCCCTTTATTTGACAGCTTCTGAAATTGAATTCACATTACTGAAATTCTATGGACAATATTACTCTTCTTTCTTACATATGTATATGTTATTATTTAGAGATTTTTTTTTTCGGAAAGATGATTGATATTCAGAATATCATATTTTTGTAAAAGTGATGTGTCACTGCAAGTCTGCAAATAATTAATTGGTCATCTATTAACACTTGAAAGAATTCTATTAAAAATTTGTGATATAACGCAATCGTAATATTCTTTAAAAAAATTTAGAAAAATTAGTAGGTTTGCGTATGTAAAATAAACTTAAAAACTGTTGGTCGAAATATGGGTAGTATTCGCAAAGGCTAAGGAAAAACGGAAGAAGAAGAAATCTGATGCTCGTGAAAACACGATCTCCTTAAAATAGATTTGCCCCCTCCAATGGTGTTTGAGAATCTCGAGTAACTGTTTCCCAGGATACAACGAAAACGTAGAGACTACTTAACACAAAGAAGTTCTACCAGCGAACGAAACTTACAACACGATGATGAACACCGAAACTAAAAAGAGAAAGAAAGAAAGAAAGGCTTGAAAGAATATTAAAAGAGGAGGAAGGATTGGTGTGTTGAACTTTGAAAAATGAGTGCCTATTTATAGGCTGGAGAAACCTTTGAAATGGCAGCAAAACTTCAAACGGTTTTGGTGTTTTAATTCTGTTAAATGTCACGAATTCATGGCACATAAACAGCCAAAACGTTTTTGACAATCAAACAGTCAAAGAATTCATTCTGCCATTTAAACAGTATTAAATCCGCCATTCATTTGCTCATTCAACAGCAATATTTAATTGTAACGTTTCAGTTTTCTTTTTGACTGAAATGAATAAACATAAATCTCCACATTAAAATTTTAGCTGGAAAAAATTAATCTGAACCGGAGCAAAATGTGGGTTGATCAGGCCCGCTAGAGTTTGGTTCGGCATTCGTGTCTGCAGGTCGTGCGCACACATGAGTCAAGCTATTTTGGCCCCGAATCGGACCTCCATTTGCACCCGCCCTGCGCGGGCGCACGCGAGCGAGAACGATGTGGTATAGTATTGGCAAGTCAACTTGCAAGTCAATTTTGGGCTCTCACTTATAAAGTAAGCTCCAACTCTTCCCAACACCCATGTGGGACAAAGTCCCTTAGCCTTAACTCTAATTTTTTCAACTCTTGAGAAACTTAATTCTCATTCACTCTTTTCCAACAATCTCCCATATGAATGAGATATTTTTTCGATTAAACGATGATAGTGTTCACCAACTGATCCCTGCATAGAGAAAGTAGGTTTTACCCTTTGCACTTCCTCCTTGTAAAGTATGTTTGCCTTACTAGCTGTCCAGTAGACACGATGTCCTTGAACTATCCGGCTGTATTGTGTAAAGAAACCCACATACTGTACCCAGGAACTATTTCTATTTAGTTCCGTTCTCATGGTTTTGTCCATTTTGGCCATGAATACGTCCTGGTTCTGCAAGAGTTTCTAAAAAACTGAGCCTTAACAGTTCTCCTTTGAAGCGGCTCCACTTCTCTCTCACATAGGTGACTTCTTAAGTCTAGAGTAAATGAAATTACTCACATAAGTATCATTAAAGCAACCGTTTGCCATCCTTTCTGTCATATTACTGTTTAATGACAGGAATGAGTTGAGGTTTACCCCCACAGTGACCCTACTAAGTCTTATGATTAGGTTGTCCCATTGAACCTAGATCTTGGGATCTCCAGTCAACTAGGTTGGGTTTTCCTTCTAAAGACTTTTATTTCTTCACGGGCTTTACACCCATTCTTTTGGTCAATCTTTCAACTGCCTCTCTATTTAACCCTTTGGTTAGCGGATCGGCAAGATTATCCTTTGACTTCACGTAGTCAATTGTGATAATTCCTGTTGAGAGGAGTTGTCTAATGGTATTGTGTTAACGACGAATATGTTTCGAATTACCATTATACATAGTACTCTGTGCCCTTCCAATTGCCGATTGAATATCACAATGAATACTGATAGGTGGTACAGGTTTTTCCCACTTTGGAATATCCTCCAAAAGATGGCGTAGCCATTCAGCCTCCTCACCACACTTATCCCAGGCAATGAACTCGAATTCCATTGTGGATCTGGCTATTACAGTTTGTTTTGAAGATTTCCACGACACAACTGCTCCAACTAGTGTAAACACGTAGCCACTTGTACAGTGTGAGTCCTTTATATCAGATATCCAATTGGCATCCACATAACCTTCCAACACACATGGATATCTAGTATAATGCAGTCCATAATCACCGAATGATTTCTCTACTCTTGTCATTTTGCTCTGTCTTGGTTCAACATCTTGAACCTCAACCGAATCATGAACTTCTTCATGAGTTTGTTTTGATGAACTGTCATCATCCTTAGTCTTGTAAGGAAACACATTTTCAAATAAAGATGCATTTCTTGATTCCAAAACTGTGTTCTTGTGTATATCCGAAATCTTCGAATCATGCACTAAGAACCGATATGCATTACTATTCAGTGCATAACCAATAAAAATACAATCGACCGTTTTAGGTCTAATTTTTATTGGCTTTGGCGGAGGTACAACTACCTTTGCAAGACACCCCCACACTCGCAAGTGTTGTAGGATGGTCTCTTTCCTTTCCATAATTCATATGGAGTCTTGTCTTCTTTCTTTCGGGGAGCCCTATTTAATAGGTAATTACTAGACAAGACGGCTTCTCTCCACATATTGGGAGGTAGACCTGAACTTAACAACATGGCATTCATCATTTCTTTCAATGTGCGATTTTTCCGTTCAGCAACCCCATTAGATTGAGGTGAATAAGGTGCTGTCACTTCATGAACAATTCCATGTTGTGCGCAAAATCCACCAATCGGTTGCTTCATACTCGCCACCTCTATCACTTCTCAATCTCTTAATCTTTTTACCAAGTTGATTCTCAACATCAGTTTTGTAGAGAACGAATTTCTCTAATGCTTCGTCTTTACTTTTAACAAGTAAACATAGCAATATTTCATGCTATCATTAATAAACGTGATAAAATACTTATTACCACCTCGTGTTTGAATCGATTTCAAATTACAAACATGACTGTGAACTAATTCAAGTGGTCCAGTACTCCTTTTAACCGTTTGAAAAGATGACCTCGTTGATTTTACTTCGACGCAAATTTCGCATTTATTTCCTAAGTCAATTTGAAATGTTGGTATATGGTTCAAGTTAATTAATCGACGCATCGAATCAGAATTAACATGATCTAGTCTACAATGCCATAAATTGGAAGACTCAATCAAATAAGCAGAAGAGGTACTTGCATTCATTTCATTAACAATAGTCATTACATTGAGTTTAAACAACCTATCGGTTGCATACCCCTTCCCAACAAACATTCTTGCATTAGACAGAATAAACTTATTAGACTCTATTACAATCCGAAACCCATTCTTGTCTAGCATGAATCCTGACACAAAGTTGTTGCGCACTTCTGGCACATACAAAAATGCAACAAATAGAAACTCATGCTACATTTATCAGGGGAAGGGGAAAAAGAAAACCAAAAAGAGAAACTCTGAACTTAGGAATACCTACAACACCGTATCCTTTGGAATTACCATCTACAGTGACTTTCGAGAAGGGCTAAAACAAGGTAAAAAAAAAATTTAATAAATAAATGATACCAAACCCTGTGAATGCAACAGATGCTCAAGTACAAAAATCTCCAACATGAATAAAAACAACTTAATAATAGTAACTGCGGCAGCATCAGCAGCCAAATACTGATATCAACTGAAAAGTTAAAAGAGAAAAATAGATCAAGCCTTTTCACTTATCAATGAGAAGACATACCCTTATGAGGCCATTTTTGTGGTACACATTGAATCCACAAACTCCAAGTTCAGGTACCTCTTTAATGAACCCAACAATTGTGGCTACAGATACCTATACGGAGAGAGAAAAATTTAAATTCAACAACCACACAGGCGAGTCCCATTTTTTTCTTTTCTTCAGTGCAAAGATGCATGATGTGAGCTGTTAGTTTATAACATTAAAAACAGGAAAGTTGGAACAGAATAAAAGTAGCATCAGATGCAAGAAAGGACAAAGAATAAGAAGGTGAAAGCACTCCACCCTTAAGAGTTATTTTAAGACTTGAAGGAAAAACAGTGGTTTTGCTTGTGGAACAAAGTGAAGTTTGACACACTGACACTGAGTTCCAGTTACGCCTGAGGCAATACACTACTAACTTGCAAGGTAAATCACCTGATGTCCATTTGAATTCGCCAACTAACTTAATTGTGTTTGAAAAAAAGGACAGGAGCAAAAGCATCGTATGGTGGCTGAAAGAAGTATATGTGGTGGTTTCAAATAGTATCACCCTTTTTTATAAGCAGCGCAACGTAAATTAAACTACATTTAATAATACTCATCAGTTTATAATTATTGGGAGTGAAGAGGAACAGTAGTTAAAGAAAAACCAGAAATACAGCAATTAGCTATCTTACACGATTTCTCCCATGTTATCATTGAATATCGCATACAATGACTTTTAAACCGGAATTTGTAATATCCATAACGAAACAAAACTAAAGAAAGTAGGAAACCAACCTCATCCAAAACGGATAAATAGCCATTCTATTGAACCGACAAGCTTTCCCTCAAAAAACCATACCCACACACACACATACAGTATGGCATCATCTCTCCCTGCCATTTTCTCGACCTTAAATTATCCAAATGTCAAAATTCCATCGACCCCGTTTCAAGTTTCTTCTTCTTCCTTGAAATCCCATAAAGATTTCCCCCAATTGAACATCTCGCGAAGGGATTTTGTCAATGGACTTTCCTTAATGCCGTTACTCCCATATTTAGCAGCTCCACCGTCTGAAGCTCGCGAAGTGGAAGTGGGTTCTTATCTCCCTCCTTCCCCGACTGACCCTTCTTTCGTTGTCTTTCAAGCCACTCCCAAGGACACTCCTGCCCTTCGCGCAGGTAATTCGATGAATGTTTTAATTATTTAGGTTTGTGTTCTGTGAAATCTGTTGAGAAATTCGAATATGACTACTTGAGTTTAGAGTGATGATTCATCGAGTTTTCGTTTATGATTGGGGTCGAAACTCTATATAATGTAAATTTCTGTTTTCGAAATTTGGTTCACATCATCGAAAAAGGGGATAAATTCTACATATGAGGGTAGAGACCTGATCTGTTTATCACCCCTTACCTTTTAAATGAGCATTTTATGTATTTGTGATCTGTGATTTGAGGAATGAGTGGTCATAACAATTAATTCAAGTGTAATTAGACTTGAAAATGTTTATACATTGAATTTGCTCCAAAACTTTTAACACCTTAGCGTCTGGTAACATGCGGCAGCAAACATTTAGCATAATGACCCAATTCTTCCCGGCACCCCTTTGCAGTTCTGCCTTTGTTGAGAGTTGACTCTGAAAGATTCTGTGTAAAATATTGTGAAAGATAAAAGGAGACCATCCTGCATGGGCATTGTCTAATATATGTATACATATATGCCAGAAACTATCATTCTGTAGCATTGGTCATTGTACGACCATCATCGAATTCCTGGTCCCTGACAACTGAGTTATATTGCATGATATAACATCAGACCTGCTATGCTCTTGTTAGATTTCTAGACAAAGTGTTGTTTCACAGAAGTTTAAGAAGTGTTTGTATCATCTAACACATTTTCTGTTTTATTCCCCCTTTTTCCTTTTCTCATATAAACTTATGAAACTCTCTGTTTAGTTATTTGCAGGAAATGTACAACCTTACAAATTCATAATCCCACCTAGTTGGAAACAGCTTCGTGTGGCGAACATCCTATCCGGCAACTATTGCCAGCCAAAGTGTGCTGAGCCATGGGTGGAGGTGAAATTTGAAGATGAAAAACAGGGAAAGATTCAAGTCGTGGCATCTCCATTGATTCGCCTAACCAACAGGCCCAATGCAACCATTGAAGACATTGGCAGTCCAGAAAAGGTCATTGCTTCTCTTGGCCCTTTCGTTACAGGAAATACCTATGATCCTGACGAACTAATTGAAACTTCCATCGAGAAAGATGGTGATCAAACGGTATTATTGCTCATCTCTTCCATCTTTTATCCATTTTCATCTTGTTTGGTGTTGTTGGTTGCAGTTTCACCGAGAAGTTCTTCCTGTTTTTTTCTTTTAACTTTATTTCTTCTTCTTCCCCACCCCCCTTTTTGGGTTTCTCATGTAAGTTTCTGATTTAGCTTTAGGTTAGAATTTAAAACAGTTAGAGGGATTGAATTAATGTTTGGTCAATTCAACAGTGGCCATATATTTCTTCTGGAATCTCACACTAAAATTGGAAATGGTTAATTAAGCATATGAACTTGTTGAGCAGCTTCAACTGGCTACTGATATCGACATAACCTATTTAGGAAGGTAAAGAGTAAACAACTGGAATTGTAACAGTAAAAGCTATGATAAAAATTGACCAGAAATAAGAGTGATAAACTTTGAATCCATTATTTCAGCAAATTTGAGATGAAATAAGGAAGAAGCATGAGGCAAATGGACAAATGACTTCCTACAAGAAAAAGATCTAGTTCCGTTAGAATTAGGATTTATGAATCTTGAGTTAGATTCTGGTGTTTGTAAATAAACTGATTCTATTTCAGTACTCCGTAAGTGAGACGACTGATCTAATCTGGGAAGATGAAAATCTCATTTGATTCGAGTCAAATATGCTCTTCTGTGAAGAAATCAGCTACATTGTGGCGGTTCTGATCTTAAGAGCTTCGAAGAACTACTCATTTTCTTTTCTCGTCTTTGCAGTATTACAAATATGTGCTTGAGACTCCATATGCTTTGACGGGGTCACACAACCTAGCAAAGGCTACAGCCAAGGGTAGCACGGTGGTCCTTTTCGTTGCCAGTGCGAATGATAAACAGTGGCCTTCATCAAAGAAAACCCTGCAAGCTATTCTTGATTCCTTTCAGGTGTAATCCTTGGTTACACCTGCGGATAGAAAGTTTTTTTTTTTTTTTTGGGACTCATTCGTTACGAAGTCCGAAGTGACAATGAAGATTGTTTCATGTAAGAGGTGGATTTACTTGGGAAAATAACTACTGTATAATGGGTAGAGAGTCCAAATTTCCTTTGTTAAGGTGTTCACTGATCCTATTTTGAAGCTTTAAAGTATCGATTTGATTCGGTTTTCTTGATAGTGCACGACGCAATGAACTATTGAATCAGTTACCTGAAACATTCATTTTGTTCAACTATTGAATCTGAAATTTCCAAAAAGGAAATGTCCGGTACTGAAAATTATCACTAATAAAGCTTACTCTAAACTTATCCAATTTGATTCAAGCGAAAACAAATGAAAATAAGACCTTAGAATTGAGATAACTTGATAAAATTGCTAGCTATCCTAACAATAGGCAGAAACAATTGATGGACGAAAATATGATACTCATCCGTCTCATAATTATTGTTCAGTTTAAATTTTCATTTCTAGTTCAAATTGTACTAAAAGTGAAATTCCAAACTGGACAATAATTTTGAGACAGAGGGAGTATCACTTAGAAGATCTCTAACCCTGTGATTAACTGGCAAAAATAAGAAGAAAAAAATTATTGAAGGTAGTTTTACAAATTTTCATGATAGGTCTGCGAAAATCAGAAAAATAAGAAGCTCGTTGGTTGCCTATGTGACCTTATGTCAAAAGAAATATGACTTAGATTTCGTAGCCAAGTTTTTTGTATCATTTAGAATTGGTTGATTTCCAATAAATTTGATATATTTCTACTAAAAAAAGCCCGTTGGTCTATAATTTGGAATAGTAATACGATATTACGGTGGTTAATTCTCCGTGTACTATAATTAACATGTTGAATATATAATAGTAATTCTTACCGTTTTCCTCGTGTGTGCCATTTGTTTGTAGACTAAGCGCTCTAAAATATTCATTCCTGGCCTTTGCGTGTTTGAATTTGACATATTCCCATAAACATACAGCCGGCTGACCATTAGTTGAAAAACTATATGCATTTCCTTGAAAGACTGGCAAGTCACAAAAACCAAACACATCATCCTGTAAAGATAACTTTGCTAGCTAATTTCTTGTCTGGAATTAGGGATTTTGGTTGACAATTTCTTGCAAATCAGAGTATGTAAGTAAGAAGCCTAACTAAACTGCTTCATATCACTCCATCATCACTTAAGAACTCCAACAGTAGCATTACTGTCAATACATCATATTTGGCTCTTAAGCTTCAGTAGCAGTTCCGAATTTTCGATGGCGAAAAACAGTACTGTTTTGGCAATGGTTCTGATTGCTCTGAGTTTTTCTTATCCTGCTTATGCATCTGATCCAAAAGCATTGCAGGATTTCTGCGTTGCCAAAGCTACCAGCCCAGGTATACTTAGCATTCGCGTCGTGTTAGTGTGTTTTCGCATCACTGTTTAGATAAAACTAGTTATTTTCCCGTCCTAGAAAAATAGTCCACATCACAGTTTGTGAACTGATTTGTGGAACAGAGGGATTAATAAACTACTTTAAACTGATCATCCTTTTATGTTTTTTGGTGCACTTTTCCTTCAGTAACCGTAAATGGGCTGACATGCAAGGATGCTAGCAGAGTTCATGTCAATGATTTCTTGTTCAAAGGTCTCCATATTCCAGGGAACACTTCGAATCCATTCGGTTTCAAGGTCACCCCAGTATTTGGAGCTCAGTTACCTGGGCTCAACACTATGGGAATTTCCCTGGCTCGGTTTGATTTTGCAGAAGGAGGAATCAACTCTCCACATTCTCACCCCAGAGCCAGTGAAATCCTCACTGTTCTTGAAGGCACTATTGAAGTTGGCTTCATAACTACATCCCCTGACAACAAGCTTTTCGTCAAGGTCTTGCAGAAGGGTGATGTTTTCGTGTTTCCCATCGGGCTTGTTCATTACCAGCGCAATGTCGGTTCTTGTAATGCCGTGGCGATTGCTGCTCTGAGCAGCCAGAATCCAGGGCTTGTGTCAATTGCAAGTTCACTCTTCGGGTCGAGTATTGACAGTGGTGTTTTGGCGAAAGCGTTTCAAGTCGACCAGAACACTGTGAACCTTATTGCATCCAAGTTCTGAGTTCCTCCTGATCATCAATGTGGAATGATCAACTTCTCTCTATGGTGTGCTAATTTAGTCATGATTTTATCACAGATTTATTCTTCTTTTTCTCAATCACGGTCGGAGAACTATGTACCCTCGATAACTATCTCAATTATTTAAAGAAAATGTACTTTTGATTACCTGTTTTGTTTTCTTCCTTTTCTTCCCTTCTCGATGAAATATGAATTTCATTTTATTGAAGCTATGGGAAATTCGGATGCATTCCTCCTGAAGGGTGGTGGTAAAACCTGTACGTGTTCTACAATGCTATTGTCACCTTTCAAAACGAAAAAAACTTCCCATCTCATTCAACTAAATGTCAGCTCTCTTCTTCCAGTTCCAGACCCTGCAGTTGAAAGGGTAAGATGGTGTCCTTGCTCAGTAGTGCTGCTACCACGGAATTGTCGGTTCGAATTTGACAGTTCTTGATTCTCAGTCTATGCGCTTCTTGAAGGCCCCATAAGGCTTGCCTTTGGCATTGTTCCTGAACTGCCACTCCTCTTCAACTCATTGCAGTTTTGTTTAAAACTTTGATCCTCCAGAATTTCTTCCATGGTTCTTCACTCATACGTGTTTCCCTTGGATTTGTGATTCTAAGCCTCTGTCGCTGCTGTCCAATTTTGACAGTACGGCACCTATTTCGACTTCTGCTCCAGATTTTTCCGTGTGCATCCTGCTCATCATTTAGCAGAAGATATATCGTCTTCATCTTCTTTGCAATTTCTTGAGGAGAGATTGAATTTTAGGAGGGGTGATCTCCAGTTTACCTTGCTGTTGTCTTAGAGATTACAAACTTTCAAGTGTGTTAACCAATTATTCAACTGTTCTTGTAAATCATATGTAGGAACTACAACAGTTGTAGTATACATTAATTGAAGATAGATTGCCACAAAAAGCTGCCATATTCGAATAACTGCATGTATATTGATAGCTGGTAATACAACATTGCAAGTCGACACTGCCTACATTGATAAGTTAGTCTACTTTATTGTAGAGTTTGTCATAGTTGCTAGTAGGACTAAATAACTCTTCATCCCTATCTACAAAAACTGCTACATATATGTGACTACGATTCTACTTAAAAGTGCGAATTCTACATGCATCATTAAGTAGTAACAAGATGGGGACTTGCTCCCATAAATGGGAGCATACATGAGTAAGTGACATACTTGACACTGTCTATCAGCACCACGACAAATATCCGTGAGAGTGACTTTGCCCCCAATACACCATCGACATCAGCATCACCTACCTCTCTAGGATCTACAAGCACAGAAACAACCATGGGAGAGAGAGAATTGTTTCTGTTGAAATTCTCTTTTTGAGAACTCCTACTCCCATTCTCGGTTATGTTGTGAGAAGATCCAGGAAGGGTAACAGGAAGACCACGGAGAATCCTCCTGTTCTTTTCTTTCCTAGTGTGGGTAGAATTGTGATTTTGCTCCTCAGTGATGTTGCTCGCTGAGGTAGCCCTAGCTGGAACTGGAATGATGGCTCCTGGGCCAGAAGCTGCAGATATGTCAAACTGGAAAACCTCAGAGCACATCCCTGAACTTAACATAGGACCTGAAAAGGGGAAACATAATTGCATCAGAAGATAGGGGAAAAGTAAAAATTTCACAAAATAGCTGATGTAGTCAAGGACTGCTGATAATAACCTAACAAAATTTTCAATCTTAACAGTATAGCATGAGGACTACTCCATCATGCAGTATCATGATTGTACATCTGTATTCCTAAAGTAAAAGCACGAACCATTAAGCCAAAATACGGAAAAGGTGAAGCCAGTATGCAGACGAAAATATGAACCCTTGTATGCATATCAAGATTCATGAACACCAAAAAACATACGAACTTCAAAGGAAAATAATAATTCTATAACAAAGCTTATCAGGACAACTCAGTATTGGGTATATCAGTAAAAGCATAAGTTTCTCTGGACAGTAATTCAGAGTAAACAATAATAAGCATTAAGTACCTTAATAAATATTGCTAATGAATATGATCCAAATATTAACTAATGAACTAACAAATGATATTCACATACAAGCTAAGATCAAATTTTGTCCTCCACATTTACCTTAGAAAAATCAGATTTTATAAGATAATAATAACAAAACCAGGAAATATGCGAATGACGAGGTTGGCAAAATACAGTTCTTAGCTTACCAGCTAGGCCTTCGCGGAACCACTGCTGAAGTCTACCATCAGTTGCTGGTGACTTTAAATTTTCATTCCCCACAGAAGTCGAGCCAAGAGCCCTTTGGTGTTCATGTGGATTTCTATAATGGTGGGGGGATCTTCCACCTGCAACTGAAATGACGGGAGCCAACTCAGTAGAAACTGCTAGGCTAGTATCACTACCGGCCTTATGTTTTGGATCTTTCTGAGATGCCATGGCTTTCTCACTAGCCAGAACTGAATGTATTATTAGGTTTCCATCTATCTTCACCATCCTATCATTTCTTGGAACATACAGAGAGGCCACAAGAGGCTCACTACTATTACTACTCTCCTTCCCAGTTCCGCCAAATTTTTCGCCATTATCACTACCACTTCTATTCCCATTTGCCGTCAATACTCTACCGTGGTGTTTCTCATAAAACCGGTCCTCAACATGACTTGGACCACCAGTGAATGTGTTACTAAAACCTCCAAACCTCACGTTCACCATAGGAACCAATCCACCAAAAAGCAACATGAAGAACAACAATCCCAAGAAGCTAACACTTGCCACCTTCTTAGTTTTCCCCTCACTCTTCCTGCTCTCCGCCTTCTTATTCACTTTAGGGGCTGAAGCAGTTTGCTGTGGTTTCAACCTTGGAATGGGAACCAATGGCACCTGTGACCCCTGCGGCTTCACCATATATGGTGGAACCGGCATCCATGGATACATCATTGGTGGTGGATGCATGTACATGCCAGGCGGAGGAGCTCCTGCCACGGGAGGTGGAGCAGCCCCTGCGCCACCCATCTGCTGCCTTAAGGTGGCATTTTCAGCCATAAAATAGGTAATCTTTGCATTCAAATCTTGAATGGTAGAATGCATGCTTTTGACCTTATCTTCCAATTCCTCCACATAATGCTTCTTCCTCTGCCTAGATAATTGAGCACTCTCTCTATTCCTCATTAACCTAGCCCTTTTCTTCTCTTCCTCTTCACTTAAAACAGTATTGTTATTATCACTGTTCACCTCATTACAACCAGAACTGGTGGAATTACATAACTTATTTGTTTTAGCCTCAATATTGCTAGACTCATCGCTTTCTTTTTTCCTTTTCAACAAGTTGCCCTTAAACATGCCATTATTCGACCCTTCTACCTTAATTTTAGAATTGGCAACTCCAGTCTTCAAAGAAAAATTAGGGGAAGAACTCACCGATTTATTCGAGTCCTCAGAAACATTGGAATGACAATTGCCAGAACCCTGAGACTCCGGGGAAGGGCAGCTCAAAACCTTCATATCATTAGACCCTTTTGACCCATTTGACTCCGGCGAGGATACATTCAGGTATGCAGAAACATCCTGTCCTCGATCACCGAGAATCTGATTCATCTCCGGGGTCCTCTCGCCGGATAACTGACAAACCTCGGGTTCCGACGACGGCGACGATGAATCCGTCACCACCCCATCACCGCAGAGATTATGAGGGAACTCAGCCGACGTCTTCTTAAAAGCCCTGGAAACATCACCCAAGCTGCGATCCGGCTGGAACTGGGCCAAATTCGGGTTGGATCCATTCAGAAGAAAACAGTCGTCGTCGAATTGGGCCGGGTCAGGCAGAGGCTGCTCAATCGAAGCCGGCAAGATATCTTCCAAATTGAAGTCCAAGTCAAAATCAAAGTCTTCCAACACGATGTCACCCTCATCGTTGCCAAAGGGATCAAAGCTGTTCCCGTTTGAACCGGGAAGACTCATATCATGTGATAAAAAGGAAGGGTCCATCGGAGGAATCGAGAGGCCGTCGAATCCATCACCGGCCGGCACCTCGCCCGCCGCCGGCCCCTTTGACGGATCGGCCATGGCCACATCAGCCATAACAAACAAAATTCGCTGGGCGGAACAACCTAAAGAAGGATTTGGTGATGGAAAAGTGGCAAGTTTGGATTGAATTTGTGAAAAATAGAACGGAGGAAAACAGGGGTTTTAGAGGATTAAGGTTCGTTTCCTTTCTTCTTTCCGTTAGAACCGGTTAGGTGTATGAGTCATAGTGGGCGTAGGAAGTGGCCCTTAAATTGGTTTTCCGATGACGCTGGGAACGTGATGTGTGCTTCACGCGCTACGATATACTACAGATCTAACAATCTGATGAATATGAATGTGTAAATTGAACTTTTGAAATTAGTGATAATGTTATTGGAATTTAAATTGACTCCATTTTTATCCATGAGCTAAAATGTCAATGTCGAAAATATGTAATATAGTAATCTGTTTATGGTAGATAAATAATTCTTTTTATTTAATAGAAGGAAAATTAATATCTTTGTGTAATGACAATAATAATTTTGTAATTGTAACTAATAATTTTATTTTTCTAAGATTGACTGTGAAAATACTTATTACGTTACCAGTACAGATAAGAAAGCAATATTACTATTGAAGGATGCATGAATTGATGATGCTATTTAATCCAAAAGTTCTCAATTATAATTGCGTAAATGTGCATGTTTTTATTTCATTTAGACCATCATCAAGAGATAAACGATTACATGCTTATTTAATGAGTTTAAGACTAACATTAGTTATCACTCCTAGAAAATAATCAACAATATACTTTGTAAATTTACTTTACAATTTATATTTTGAATCATTATTGTTGGATACTAGAAAAGAAAGTATTTAATACAAAGATAAAAATTCATTACAAAGATAAATTATCTTAGATTTTGAAAATCTGCTATTCATATTGAATACTTTGAGATAACAAAGTAATCTATTTCTTATTATAGATTTAAGAAATGTTAAAATGCCTTATAATCAAGACCGGAAATAATATTTCAAATGTCTATTCTAATAAAAATAAAAATTTATTTTACATCTATATTGTAAAATGTTCATCGATAAACAAATCACGTTTGTATTTCACTTAAATAAAATGGACTGTAGCTTGATAGAAAACATACAATATGCGCGGTTGTGATGAAACAATGGCAAGTGGGAGTCGGTTAAAACTTAAAAGATGCAGAGATTATAAAACCCATCACCGTGTGCCATACACCCTTTTTGCTTTTGGGTCAAATGGATATCTGGAAACTTCTGCCTTCATTCGTTCTCTAATTCTTTTTTCCAAAATTGTTTCGTTAGCTGCCTTAGACGTTACGCCTAACAAAATCCCACTTGAGATTTAGATTCGCGCGTGTACATAATTCTTCTATTATATTGTTTATTATTTTTAATTATCAGTTTAAGGATTATTGGAGGAAACAATTGTTAAAACGTTTTCTCACGAACTTTCACGACTAATATATACAATTGAAAGGCAAATTTAATTCGTTTTTGTTTGCTATAGTTTGGTCATCAGTCATGATGCAATTACTTCTTTGATGATTTTAAAATTTTACTTTATTCTTTCTGATTTAGATTGAAGTTCAATATCCCAACTGTCAAAAAAAAGGAAAAAGAAAAAAGGGGAGAAATTTGTGGCCCGAGTGTAGTTGTTTAACCTAGGCTCGTCTATGGTTTCAGATTCAGCGATTTCGGTTCTCTAGTGGTTCTGAAACCGCAATGATGAGAATTGAAACCGAACTTTGAGACAGCAATTAGTTTCAGTTTTGGAGCCACAAGTTTCAGTTTAATTTTGGTTCGATTTTGTTTCTAAGATGTGTGTTCATGCGGCTTTTACCTTGTAGTTTTGAAACCAAAAGTTTTTGTTTGGTTTATTTTTTTATGTAATTTCAAAATAAATAAATATTAACTGTCTCATTCTAACGTACCTTTTTACATTTCCAATACATCTTTTTACATTTTCAATACTAAAAACACACACTGAAAAAACGATCCAAACATAGATCGCTTTGATGGCTCTTTCCATGCGGTTTTCTGAAGGCTTTTTAATTTAAATTAGTAAAATATTTTTTAGGAAATATCCCATACAACGTAAAGAGTTGAATTAAATTACAAGTGTATGAAGTTTTTTTTGTAGTACACTTGTCAACCTATAGTGCAATATCAATTACCAACGACACTATTCATTTTTATCGATTAATATAATTTTTTAAATAAAAAGACCAATTATCCACTGCTTCTAGAATTAGACACAAGCTAAGTCAAGTACATTCTTATTATAAAAATATTTTTTAATTTTTTTTATGAAATTAGGGTTAACTGACAATTTAGTATAATTAGAACTATCGGTTAGAACCGTCGATTTTCGGTTTCCTAAACACGAAAACCATAACTAAAATTTCATCACGTGGTTCAGTTGTATCCAGAATTTTGAAGTAGATGTCAATGTTGTTCTAAATTTTTCCACTAGTTAATTTTATATCTAACTCTTCGAATTTTTGACCAATTTTATCCAACCAATTCAAATTCCATCCAATCTAACAGATCTCCATTAGTTTTACTAGTACTATTCACGTGCGTTGCACAGATTTGAAAATATTTTATGTCATTTTCAAACTATTAATCAACAATGCTTTATAACTGCGTAATTTGTTCATGATTTATTTTTTTTAAAAGGGATAAGATTGTAAATTTTTATTAATTGGAAAAGGAATTAATAAGACTTGGAAGGCTTGGATCTCTATAACTATGTTGCTAACTTTCCACTCTCTCTCTCTAAATTTTTTTTTCTCGCATCTCTCTAGAAAAAAAAACCCTATTATCAACGGCTCTTTCCTGCCGGCCGCCATGGCCGGCAATTCCAAAGTTTCGCAGCCATCATCTACACGTACCTTTGCAAGTCTCTTCAATCAGCCAAACAAATCAACCTCCAATGAGGCGGATTCATCAATCGAACAATTTTCTCCAGTTGCGCTGCCTTTCCTGATTTCAAAAAAGTCACATTCTTCAATGGTTCTCCGGAATTAGAATATGATGATGACGAATTCAAAGCTCTAATCGTGCCTCACAAAATGACTCTTGTTGGGAAATTTTCCTACGGGCGCCCAAAGATGGAAGAGGTTCGAGACGAATTCAAGAAAATTGGATTTAAGGGTTTTTACTCTCTCGGCCTAATGAACCCAAGGCACATATCTATTCTATTCGAACTCGAGGAGGATTACTAGCGTTGCTGGATCTCGTCCTTATGGAACATTGTTGGCTATCATATACGTATCCTTTAGTGGTGGCCATGATTTAAATTCGAGGAAGATCCACCTATTATTCCGGTATGGGTTTCACTTCATGAATTACCAGTGGACACACCCAAAGATTTTGTATTCAATTGTCACAGCAATCGGTAACCCACTACAAGTTGACGCTCCAAATCTTAATTTGTCTCGACCGTCGGTTGTGCGTTTTTGGGTTGAACTTGATCCTACAAAAGACCGGCCAAAATCGATTAAAAATGGTAAGAGGGTAAGAAATACGAACAGCTTTTCACTTATTAATATATTCCATCTTACTGTCTAATTGTTGTAAAATAGGCCACAAAAATCTAGATTGCATGAAAGGGAAGCAGCCTAATCAGTCATTAACTCAGGAAGATACTACAATGAAGAAGACCCCCAAGTTGGCTGTCAATGTTGAATCGGAAAAATTGCCGCGTTCAGCCCCTGAAAAGGTCCAATTTGTTATGCCTAAGCTTGTGCCAAAGTGGAGAGCAAGGATGGAATTAAGCAAAAAAGATGATCAATCACAGACTCTTGCCTCTTCTTTTGGTTTGTCCATTAAAGAGAAGCAGAACATCCCCATCGATGTTGAAGGCTCTAATCCAATCAATGTGGAGGCTCTCACTAGCTCTGCACTATCACCAGCAAAAGATGCCATCTCTGCTCCTCAAACTGAGGTAGACATGACAACAGTAATCGATGCTAATCAATTGCCTGATGAAGAAACTCAAAATAACCGGATCTCTCCAAATGTCGCAGATTCTCAGAAACAGCGTGCTGTTTCCATTGTTGTTGAAGAAAATCCTGTCTCCTTAGAACCTGCTGCTACTAATGCTTCTACTCTTCTAAGTTCTTTTTCTATAGGAAATAACAATCAGGAACGTACACCGGCACCACTTATATCGACGCCAATACCACGTTGCCACTGTGGATGATTCGCAAATTGGCAGACAAAGTGTTTCCATTGATGATGATGATGACCCACGTAGTCGATGGTCTGATGGCGAAATAGATGACGCCTCAATTCATGAGAAGGATAGTTTTACTACGGTTAAAAGAAAAAGGGGTCGGAAAACTAAAGCGGAAAGAATCAGATTGTAGTCAGGCTTTGAGCCTCGACGATCCACTCGGTTACAATAATTTCTCTTTGGTTTCTGCCTAAATCTTTTTTATGATGATTAGTAATCTTTTTTGGAATGTTCGTTGCATTAATAATCAGGCTTCTCAAGGCCGTCTGAAAACCATAATCCGAAGATATAAAATCTCTATTTTAGTTTTATTGGAACCTATGTTAACCTCAAATAAAATATATAAAATCCAAATTGAACTTGGTTTCTCCAAATGATTTGCTTCTAGTACTAATAAAATTTGGTGTTTTTTCACTAATGAATTTGATGTTCAGCTTCTTTGTGGCATGGATCAGTCTTTATATTTTGAAGCCACACGAATTTCTGATAATCAAGCTTTTTTCATGATGGCCATATATGCAAAGTCAACTCTCAATGAAAGGCATACTTTATGGGAGGACTTCCCCATATTTCGACAACAGCATTTGGCCTCTCCTTGGTTAGTTGGAGGCGATTTTAATGTCATCCGATCTCTTGAGGAATACTCTGGCTTATCTGTTCAGGATCACATGGCTATTGAGGAATTTAATGATTGCATTGAGACTTGTGGCTTGCTGGAATTAAACATAGCGGGGGATGCTTTCACTTGGGGTGGAACTCGTAGTACGTGATGGATTACTAAAAAGCTTGATTGTTTACTCTTTTGACAGGAATGGATTGATCTCTTTTCTTCAGCTTCTGTCGAACATCTCAACCGGACAACCTTCGATCATTGTCCACTTTTGTTGCAATACAAACAAAATAATTAAATGCGGCCAAAGCTTTTTATGTTCCAGAAAATGTGGTTTCGGAGACAAAATTTTCTAAAAGTTGTGGAGGATAATTGGACTCAACCAATGGCTCAACAAGGCATGTTAAGGTTTTCCCTTAAGTTAAGAAGATTAAAAGCTACGCTGAAAATATGGAACAAGGAAACCTTTGGTAATGTTTTTGATAATTTGAAAAATGCTGAAGATGAAGTCAAAGCTTTTGAAATTCAGTATGATCTCAGTAAATCGGAAGGCGATCGGTTGCAACTTCATCAATCTAAAGCGCGCCTCCTACAAAAGCTCAAGGAATATGAGGATTTTTGGAATCAGAAAATGAAATTAAAGTGGTTAAAAGAAGGCGACGCCAACACAAAGTTTTTCCATGCCTCATTAACCGAAAGGAAAGCTTGCTTGGGGATCCATAAAATACAATATGATGAAGGCAATTGGATAACATCCAGGGATGCTATTAAGGAACAAGCAGTTACTTTTTTCAAAAACCTTCTCTCGGCTGAGGAGGCTAACCAAGGAATTGATTCTTTTTTGCAAAAAATTCCTTACTTGCTCAATGAAGATGATCATGAGGCTCTACTGAAGGAAGTCACAATGGAGGAGATCAAGTCAACCGTCTTTGGTCTTGATCAAGATAGTGCTCTGGGTCTGGATGGCTTTGGAGGGTTTTTTGATACGCAATGTTGGGATATAATTGCCATTGACCTCCTTAAGTCATGCAAAGAGTTCCTTCATGGCATTCCGATTCAGCGCTCCATTGGAAGCACTTTGGTGACCCTAATCCCCAAAAGACCTCAATCTCAACATTCTCTAATCTATGACCCATTAGTTTATGTAACTTCATAAATAAAATATTTACGAAGTTACTTACTGAAAGGTTGAAGCCGATTTTGCCCAAATTAATATCAGAAGAGCAATCGGCTTTCTTGGCCGGGAGGAACATAAACGATAATATTTTGTTAGCTCAAGATCTATGCCAATTTTTGGGTCACAAAGCGGTTGGCAGTAATCTCATCCTCAAGGTCGATATGATGAAGGCATTCGATAGAGTTTCTTGGGAATTCCTCAAAGCAACACTCATTCGGTTTGGTTTTACCACTCGTTTTGATTCTTTGATTTTTTCTAACCTATCTAACAGTTGATTTTCTATTCTTATAAATGGATCACCGGTAGGTTTCTTTCAAGCTTCTAGGGGCTTAAAACAAGGCAATCCATTGTCACCATACCTCTTTATTCTAATTTCAAAAGCAAAGTCTCGCCGGCTCAACTTTCCAATATAGCAACAAGTGATTGATGGCTTCGGTACTCCTGCTGGATCAAAACTCATCTCGCACCTATGCTTCGCCGACGATCTCCTGTTTTTTACCAAAGGATCTAAGCATCACTTCAAGCCTTAAATGCTTTTTTCGTCGACTACGAAAAAGCTTCTGAACAGTAATCGTCAGAAAAGTAGCTTCTATGTCGATGATTCTTGCCCGCAGCGCCTCGCTCTAATTCGTCGCATTTTAGGGATGCAGCAAGGCTCTATGCCCCTTCATTACCTCAAATGTAAAATTACACTAGGGCAGAAACGGGCTGATCAATTCCATTCCTAAGGGCAATACAAATTTGGTGTACACCAAACACCAATTTGGTGTTTTGGTGAGTGCTACAATATTTTAAAAACCAATCATTAGCACAAATTCCACATCAAAATCACCAATTCTCCTTTATCCTTCTTTTTTCTTTATTAAGTTTATTAAATTACAAAAAGATAACTCATATTTGTTCATATTTTGAATATAGCCAAAATATTTGTATCTACGTTACTCAAAAAAATATAATAAATTAAATTTGAGAAAACATATTTCATCAAACTAATAGTTAAATAACATCTTCTTAAACAAATGAAACATATAAACTTGTAATGATATTATAAATTGAAAACATGAATACAGTGTTTTTTTTTTCTTATATCATATATGTACAATTTTATTTATGTTACGTTTTTTTAGTGTTATAAATTAAATATAGACAAAACACATTTTTGGTCCCTAAACTTTGGGAGGTCGCAACTTCGAGTCACCATTAATTTTTGCCTGATGAAACTGGTCATCGTCTTTTCGTTTATTCACCAATTTTAGTCAATTTAACGGAATTTATGATCAACTAATGGTCAACTCTTTTCTTCGTTAAGGTTTTTAATTTTTTATTAATTTTTACTGAATTAGGGCCCGCAATATATTTTATGACAACAAAATCAGCCCCCTAATATAGGTTTTTCCTAAACTTTAAAATTGAAGTGAAAACATAAAAAATACCAAATTTCACAATATAAACTTTGAGTATGCAAAGCTCCCACATGATCACTAAATATTTCTGAAACATTTCTCTGATTTCTAAACAAAATATCTATAAAAGCATCATAATCATTCTTGGTACCTAAACCATCAGCAAAAAAATAACATAGGAAACAAAATGTGGCATCTAGATGATCACGGTATACTAACCAATTATGTTTCTTAAACCATGTCTTTTGAAATGATCAATTTGAGTTGGGCCTCTTGCAATGTACCTTTTACTCAATTCATTTCTAATTTAAAAAGCATAACTATCAACTGGTTTACGCAATCCAGGATCACCAATAATGTCACTATCTGACAATTCCACTTCTTACCATGGTTTTTTTTACCATTATTTACTTCATTTTCATTCATATTATTAGCTGGTGGTAACTCATTAAGTTTAGGATAAGTTTTCTTCTTACATAAATCAGTCAATGTTCTCATGGACATAATAGAATCCCTAAAGAATAGACAAACAAGTCTGGTTGCGAAGCTAGAAGGAATTTTATGTGGACTACAAGGATATGAAGAGCAAAGATTAAGTGGAGTAACTATGCAAACAGATAATTAGACCATCATATAATGCTTTTAAATAGTAAAATCTCGTGTTGGATATACTATCATTACTTATTTGAAACTCAAAAGCGTTGAATATTTCAAGTTAAAAAATTATACATGTTTTTCACAAAGTTAACAACATAGCAGATAAATTAGCAAAGCTAGCCTCCCTAGATTACATAATGCAATATGATCATTATGGCAGTCTTCCATCTTTACTACGAGTAAAACTATTTTTTAGATCAATTACCTTTTCGTATTTACGGGGTCGGTAGAACTATTACACAATACAACAGATAAATTAGCAAAGCTAGCCTCCCAAGGTTACATAATGAAATAGATAAGTCTTATTCTAAGTTTAATTAAAAGGACAGTCTAAGGAACTGATAAGGGATTTTACACGTCATGGTAGGAAAGCAGTTTTTTTTTTTTAAAAAAAAAATAAATAGGAGGTTTGGAGAGGAGCTCAGGTTCTAACTGTATCAAAAACACTCAAGGGGTCTACCCAAGAGATGGATTTTTGAATGAGTTATAGCCAAATGATATAATGTACCCACGGGGTCTACCCGAGGGATGGACATATACATCATTCAGTTCCTCAGCTTCTCCCTATCTCTGTTTTACTAAATTTCATTAATAGAAAAAATCTGGAAGTGCTTAAGACTTGCCATGTTACAACGCTATTTGAGCCTAACTCGTACATATGGAAATGAAATTTGATCTAAACGAACTAGACCACGAGTATGCCTTGGCAATTCCCGGAATCTAGTATAAATGCAAGATTGCCCTTGTGATCCTTTACTGGCCAAGCTGTCCGCCACTGAGTTTGCTTCATGAAAAATATGAGAAATTGAGTATGAACGCCTCTGTATAATACTATGAATCTCCATAATTTGAAAGTAATACTTCCATGGGATCAAATTAAGATTCCTCAAAAGATCAGCCAGCACCTTGTTATCCGTTTGAACGTCAACATGCTCCAAATTGAGATGATCACATTTTCGAACACCAAAAAGCAGCCCATAAACCTCAGCTCCAAAGCTGTCACACGCACCAACATACCCATGCTCTCCATACAGAAAGTTCCCACCAAAGCACCTAATGACAAAACCATAGCCAGAATCTTCCGCAGTAGCCGACCCATCAGTATTGAGAACAAAGCCTT